TGTGTGCAAAAAAGGTCTGCGCATCTCTTCCCCAAACTGAGTTTTCCGGTGGTAGATATGCAGATATTACCATTGAACAGTAATCTGTATGCTTACATTTAAATTGCAGAGCAAGGATTCCTTCAAATGAGCTTTCGATTATTGAAATTTCAAACACCTCAAATAAACGCGCTTTTACTAGAATTCCAACACCTCCCGACCCTCGAACTGCATTTACATGAATATTTTTACGATTATTACCGAACCAGACGTATCCATCTACATTTATGACTTTTTCCCCAGTTAAGTGAGTCTCACATATTGAAAAAATGTCAGCATCAATGGATTTAATTATAGCGCATCTTAAATCATTATTATTTTCAGTCCAACCGCTTACATTTAGGTGAGCTATTTTCAACATGCCTTGGGGCCAGGATTCATTCTATTGCATTCCGGAACTAGCATCAAAACTCGGGGCAGAAGGTTTCGTGGTACGTTCTTTGATACGACCGTTTGCGTCAATACGGAAGTTGTTGCCCGTCGGTATATTACGTAGGAGCATTCTGGCGTTATCTTCGTTGATACGTTGATACGGGCTTTTACTGTTCTTAAGGAAAACATTGTTATAAGAAGCATGGTTTCGCAATGACATTTTTTTCCTGAGCACAGTAATTTTCTCTTGCAGTGTTCTAAAACTTATTTTCACCCATCCTGGTTTGTCTGGGAACCGTGAAGGGAGTCTTCTAGCATTTACATGCCTTATATTCAGTCAGGAACTTAGTTATGATGCCTTATTAATTCTATAACTATTACCAAAACTCTTTGAAACCCCAGAAAATATTCAATTCGTTTTTATAAAATATTAAGAGGATATTTTTTCGTTTGAGTGAAATATGGAATATATTTTCACGAAACATGATAAAATGCCACATATTTTCACGAGCCGGGACGGCGAGTGAAAATATGAGGCATTTTATCATGTTTCGTGAAAATATATATCATATTTCACGAAAAACGAAAAAATAACGTTTTATTTAATTTCATTATCAAAGAAAAATGGTTATGAACCCCCTTACCTGCTACGCAAACTGCAATTATACAGCGCGCAGTAATATAAGTATCGTCTTGTTTTGCACGCGATATTTAGCGCTAGACTGTGACGTCACGTAAACAACTTTTTAAAGATATTGGTGTTCGGATTCATTTTCTTAGTTAAACCATTTTCTATCATTCTAGATAGTTTTTAAAATTTTAAAACAAAATTCAACAAAAAATTGTTTGTATTTATCAGATTTTCAAACAAAATGGCGAGAGAAGTACCTTAAAATAAATATAAGTTTTGACTCAGCCCACTTTCATATTTATATTTCATATTTATTTTTAAAAAATATGAAATATATTTGACTAATATAGCACCATATTTCATAGGTAGAATTAACTAATGTTTCGTATTGACGACTTATCATTTCGTAAAAACGAATTAATATTTCGTAATTACGAAATTTCAATTCAAATTTGTATAAATCAATACAGTTAAGTAAAAGTTATATCGCCAGCACATTTTCTTTTTCAAAGAGTTAAATCAAATTTAATAAAGATCACACACGAATACATCTTTCAGATATATTCGTGTGGGATTATATAATTTTCCAAAGAATTCTGGGGCAAACTGGGCCTTTTGAGGTTATACTTTAGGAGCGTCACTGAAAACGAAAACAACGACAACAAACACAAGAAAAACGTTTTTACTGTTATATAGGTACATATTTTTCTTCTTGTGCATTTTTTGCGATTACTACAGTTAAAGGGATTTAGTATTTTGTTAAGTATTTTGGAAGTCAAAATACTACTTTGTTTACATTTTGCTACTTTTATGACAAATAATTTCACATTAAGCGCTACTTTCTTCATGTTAGAAGCATTTAACAAGCTCTGAAACTATTATTTAAATGCTTTAAAGCAGCACACCTCCAGATTCATGCTCATTTTCATGAAAATTTGAAAATGTATTTAACAGTTTAATATTGTAAATATTGTAAAGTTACCAAAATAATGCAATTTAGACATTATCAATGCCACTTACAACCTATGTAAACCTATGTAAATTTCTATGAAGAGGTCAAAATATGCAAAAATTGCCCTTACTGCGTTCGTAACGCAATAACATTTAGTTATACATACTGAAAAATTCGGTCATTAATAGCACATTACATGTAAAGTTTTACTAGAATTTTGTATCTTTACAGTATACCTTTCCTAAAATCTTACTACACTTTTCTCAGATTTTATTTTATCGAAATAGTTTTGCTCATTTGGAGGCGTGCAGCTTTAAAACTTGATCTCGATCATGTTTCACCTTTTTAAAGAAGTAATAATATATTCATTTCTGAGGCATAATTGTCCGTTTTCTCGACAGAATCAAACGTGGTTATAACAAGCGACTTCGTGTGATTTATCTTTCTGGAACCCCCAATGCAAACGTTTAAACGAACACATTAATGAACAATGAAACTCATAAAGTTTCATCTGTTCCTGAGAACATTAGCTATTTGCTCCATGGGCCTCGTCGGCGATACAGCCAAAGAACGGAGCGGCGTTGCAGGTCTCCACAATTGTTTTGCTGTTAATCTCGCCACATACAGTAACTCGTTCTGTATGTCGGGCGAAGTGTATTTCGAGCGAGCATTACCTCCGTTAAAACCGTATTATGCTTCATATAGTTCTTTATGGATTATTACTCTTTACGTTATATTATTATTGGAACTTATTAGATCTACCTAAATACTTCGAAGATCTATATTTATATTAGAATCAATGATATAATTAGAGCTAGCTCTATAAAATGTTGGAACCATGCCTCAAAACACTCCAACACCACCCACGCCTTTAGTTTTCTCACCGTTTTTAGTATATTTGAGTTTTCGTTTTCCTGGATCAATGTTACGCACGTGCGTAGGTGCGTAACGCTAGCTACGCCCCTGTAAGCATTCATATATCAAGTCTCTTTTCTGATGTGAGTGTAATTTCCAAGAAAACAGGAAATACGCACGTTTATTAAAAATACTACTCGTTTATTTATGTGTTGTTTTTCGTTGCAACTTTATACATGTAATAACAGCTTATATCCCGAGAATATCAATTAATAAAAACTAACTTTGAGGGATGTTGCACTTATTCATTATCCCTCATGTACAGACTCAATCAAACCGAGTCTGCAATTCTTATGTTATTTTGTTGTGATTAATGCTTCCGAGGGATCACTTTGTTTCCAGAATTTTTTACTTAGTGTTGAACCTCATCTGACCTCGCCAGAACACCTCAAGCCTAAAGAACAGTCGGGCATACTTCTTGATTTAGAAACAAGGGAATTTCCCTTCAAGGTTTCCCGATCAGGCAGCTTAAGTCAAAATCCTTCCCGATCGGGAAGTGTTTTGGCATATTTTTACATAGTTCAGGAAAAATGGCCATTGCATAACAGTTTCCGATCCACTTCAAATTGAATATCACCCTTTAGTGCAGAAAAGATACATATAAAATTCAACAGAGTCATTCTCTTTTTGATAAATCTATAATTAAAATTATCTAAAGTGAATTTAATAACAGTTTTTGAATTATACTATGAAGTAGCTGGTTCCCGTTTTGGAAACACTGCTTCCTGATCAGGCATCTAGCAAATATTCACCATTAAATATTTCCCGTTTTGGATTTTTTTCTTGATCTTAGTGCGTTCTATTCTGAGTTGAACGCATGGTTTCCGCTGATTATTTAAAAAACTAATCATAACAAAGTCTTCATATTTCACATACTCATTGTTTATTACTAGAAGATGACCCCTATTGTTTTTGGGTCACTATGTCAAAGGTCAATGTCACAGGGACATAAATATCAAATGGTTTCCACTCATTATCTTCAAAACCACTTGTGATCAAGTTTTTGTGTTTCACATTAAGTTTTTGTGTTTCATTTTTTATTTGAGCATCTCTTAGTAGATGACCCCTATTGATGTCAAATGGTTTCCATTTGTTATCTCCAAATCTACCTTATTCTATGTTACACCGACATTACAAAGGTCAAACCGTGATCTGTCGTTTAACTGGTGAAGGAAGACCTCCGTGGCCCCTTCCTGCATTATTTTAGGCATGCGATACCTGTGTAGAACTACCAACCTTTCGTTGGCTAGCAGGACAGCCTACTTAGACTGAAGAATTCAAATTTCTTAAAGGAATTTTAACCACCAGTGATGTGGGATAAGTAATTTGAAGTCGGAACCTAACCATTCAGCCACTAAGGCCATAAATGTCAATAGCAAAAGGTTGTACAATGGGGAATTGTTTCTAAACACATTACATCACTTTATCAGCGTATGGATAATAGTTGCATTTTAACGTTCTAATGAGTCAGTTACTAACTATACAGCAAAATAACTCCAAATATTAGTTTAAAAAGTTAAATGGTAACAGGAAAGTTAAAATGTTGTTATCGTGATAAATGACTCCATATCGAAACACATTTATTTGATATAATCATCCTTTATCGAAGTACTTGTATGTTATGCAAATTTTGATTGAAACACTTGTCTCTTACAATGATTAGTTTCACAATAGATACACTGAATGAACTCTTTTCCGTCTGAATTATTTCATGCGTTCATGTGCCACAGTGTAAAAAGAAGAAAACATTCTGACTGACAACCTTTGCCAAAAGAAAAGAACAAAAAAAAAATATACATAGCTAAAAGGTAAGTGGCACCTAGTTTTAAAATCACTTTTTCAATGATTACTCAAAAAAGGTGGGTATAAGTATAAAACGATCAAGCGTACACAATCTTACATATAGCTCACAAATGGCAAGGTATTGTCATCAGATACGTTATGCAATTAATAGTGAAGCATGGTTCACTTAAAGTACACGCCATAAAGTCATTTTAATGAGAAGCAATAAAGACTATCAAAAAATTATCCTCCGAGTGCAATATTAGGGATTTCTCCACAACTGAGACAAGAGATAAAACAAACAGCAAATAATATACCTGCATCGCTTTATTTGACTATGACTACAACATGTTTATTGGAAAAGGTAAATAATCATCAGATGATTCATGTTTAATTAGGTATAACTCTCACTCATGGATGTCTTAGAGTGCGTAAATACTAAATTGTAAATCACAATGTTTCAATCATAATTTGATAAAATGTTGCATGGTCATATGTTATTCGTTGAAAAATAAATTTTGTTATTTTTAATGAATGCATAAACAAGAAACTTCCAGAAGGAATGAAGCAGCCTGTATTTAACTAAGAATGAAGCAGTCTGTATATCCGGTATATTGAACAATATGGTAACTAGTTAGAACGTCCACATTGAGGTATGACTTGAGCTACTTTAGCGTCAAATGCCTCTTTTGTTATAACTCCATGATCTGTAAAAGATAAAAGTAACAGTAATTTGAATAAAAATTAAATTTTGCAACAAAGTCAATCTTTAGGATTCATGATATTTCCAAAACAAAATGGTTTGTTGGACAAAAATATTTGTTGCATGATATTTTCTTACAAAATATAAAAAAGAGCGAAAGGACATATATGAAACAATTGGTTTTATAGATTCTTTTAGAAAAGTGTGCAAATATTTTCATAACGCATTTAGCTGTATCTTAAGTGAAATATTAAAAATGTAATAACAATTTCTGTTAAATCTGTTACTTACTTTGCATTTTATTACTTAAAATTCATTCTGAATTATGTGTAAAAATATGAAAAACAAGATCAACAAAGAAAGGCGGCGTTCAATGAACCCAACATGTTCCGTGTTTTGAAAGTGCATAGAGCTTTTATCATCTGCTGTGTGTAGTGTACAAAGTCATTGTCTAAATTTTGACAAAAATACTCTCAAAAATCATTGATGAAATATGTTTGTATTTTGTATTCTTGCTACGCGTTTAAAAACATAATTCGTCCTTAAAATAACAGCAAAAACGTTTGTACTGGAACCTTTTTTTCTATTCAAGTACAAATTTTAATAGAGACTCCCGAGGGTCGACATTTACGTAATGGAAATATTTTTTTGTAGTTTCCTTTAAAATACCTACCGTTAGATATAGCATTATACCTTTTAATATTCATCTAAAGCAATTAAATATACTCAGACCTGTCACTACATCAAGATCCTTCAACACAGATGCTGGTATCTTGTCAATACCAAGAACACCAAACAGTTCTCCCTGGCTTATTTTACCATCAAGGTCGGCATCGTACGTATTGAAATGGCATGGGTTTTCTGGTAGCTTGACGGTGTATTTGGACCCCACCTGCAGAAAAAATGATTTTAAGAAATGAACTGTGTGCAAATCGTATAAATGGAGGGAGTGAGGATAGCGCGTTCAAGTACATTACTTTTTGGTTATGAATCAAAATAACTTTAATGATTCATTACAATAACTAGATCAAATTCATTTGTATGAATTACTTTCAATAATCTAGTACTTCTTCTCGTTTTTTTCTAAATTCGTACATATCTTCACCACCAGCAGCATAAATAAATGAAGAAATTAACAGTATACAGAAATATATCTCATATAAGCAATTGTGCAAATAATATTATCATAAGATATACCACGGTAAAATACTGTTAAAATGATAATTGATATCGTACCAGTTGTATGTTTTCAGATCTTTCCACTGCCCTCTTTCTGTTACAGCTGTGAGAACCACCGTGACAATTTCTGTCACAACCATCTACATACCAAAGACAAGCAAGCAGAATAATAACGAGCTTAGGATTCTGAAACAGAAAGATGACCTCAGAGATGAACAAAAAAAAAGACCAAAACATTTTCATATCCCGAGATGTAAGTAATGTTTCATTCTATTTCTTCTGTTTGGTTGCAAGAGTATAAAAATCTAAAATATGACACTTCAATGAAGGATCCTTCTTTAAATTTTTCTCAAGTCTTGTTTGACTAAAATATTCTCATTATGAATGTTGTACATTTTATATATATGGTAGTCAAATTTCTTCTTGCTATTTAGAGTCACATCTAGTGTAACACCGTAAAAATTAGACAATATTTATCTTGAATGATATTGTTGCTTATCAATTGTTCAATGTCATACATTTTTTTTTCTAAAATTAGTGCTCGCCAATTTTTTAAGCCAATCACCGACGATGATTTTTCAAATTTTCAGGTTTCAAATCTTAATAGAACAGATTTTATATAAACTGGACGTTTTATATTATAAAACGCAAGTGGAAGGAGCTTAGTTTCGAAGAGCGCTGAAGTGCAATATACGCATGTGCAGAGATCTTTAAGTTTAATCCTCCTACTAATCAAAATTTATGCATCATGTTTTTTCCGTACACGCACATTTATATCGTCACTACGGCATATAATTTAAAAAAAGAGGTTCATTGAAATGAAACAGGCAAAATAACAGTAAAAATGTTTTATTACTTATAAAACCCTAAGTCAATTACAATTAATTAATACAATTACTTTACACATTGATCAGTGTCCACATTTACTTATATTTCACTTTGACCTTATCAAATGCTGTAAATGATGCAGGAACTCGCAAATTTGCCTCATTTATTTATACAATTATCAATAAGATATATAATTTTTTTGTTTATTCCAAAACGTTCTCTTCCAGTGTTTCACAATTGATAAAATTTCGAAATCTTCATTGAAGAATTGAAGCAGTTCTTGGTCGAGGATATCGAAATCACCGCTATCATTTTGTCTGATTTACCTTGACAGAATGCGGGAATTAGCTATGCTGAACACGTGACCCGAAAATGTGTACCGCTACCGCTTCCAAATATGGTTATCATTCGGAACTGCCTCGGCTATTATCTATAATATTAACCTCGGAAACAATACGGATTGAAAGTAGTTCTACCACGTGGTTTACAGATGTAAACAGAAACAGAGATAATGTAAAACGAATGTATATATTTGAATTCCGGTACTCTTATGCTTGAAAATATGTCTGACAACAATTTGTAATTTAAATATGCCTACAGATGTTCAATTTTAAATAAATCCGACCAAATGTCAATAGGTTGGCTCTTTGTACTTTCGGTTACTACAGCCATATTAGTAAATATATAAATAATGTATTGTTTGCTTTTGTACCTATTAATTCACTTATTTTAGGTGGACTTTTACTACATATATTGGAAATAAACTTGTCAACAACTCCCAGCATTAAGTTACTATTTGTTTACATGTTTAGTTTCTTAGCGTAGGTTAGACCGGAAAACCACATCCGCTTATTGTGTTCGAGGTCCTTATCCGAAGACTGACGGAAAGGGCCGAGTAGTTGCGATTTTATGGTTATATAGGATATCGTGTGACGTCACGCGGTGTGATGGGCGGCAAAAAATTGGGCGGAGCACTAAGCCGGTTAGAGTGCCTATTGGATGTTCTTCGTAAATAAGAAAGCTACAGTCGCTTCCTAAGCTCCGCTCATGTTTAGCTTTCTTATTTACGAAGAACACCCAATATGGACTCTAACCTATACATAACAAAATTACATCCAAGTACGATTTTGTGTCAAGATAACTAGAATTATCATAAATTTATTACATGCTTTTCAGTGGAAAATGAAATTACATTTCATAATTTTCACAGTGAAATTACATTTGATAATTCTATTGTTTCCAGGCTATATTTGAATGAGGATGAAAATAATATTTCATAACTAAATAGAATTATCAACAGCAATGTATACATTTCGTCCTATGTAAATTTTGCTTCTTCAGGGAAGCAAGTACATGACTGCATACATTGTGTAAACATGTCTTAAAATCACTAAAAAAGCATGAAATAAATCGAAAATGTGTTTGCTTTGCAGGTAAGATTGAAATATATTTCACTCATGAACAACAGTTATTATATTTAAACTCGTGTCTACGCCACTCGTGAAAATATTGCATCTGGTGATTACTCAGAAATACATTTCAATTTTACATGCAAAACAAACAAATATCCGCTATATCTTAAATGCTCATTTACGTTATAAACAGGTAAACAGGATTTACTTTTTTTTTAAGTTTATTGGCTGAAATGTTATTATTGCTTAGCCAAAGAAATTTAGAATTGATACTCTATTAAAGATAAAGAAAGTATGTTTCATTACATTGCTCAGGTCATAACGATTTGAAGCTTGCACCCAAATTCAAACAAAGAAACAAATAAATAAATAAATAGAATGAAATATAAATAGGTGCACTAAATTAATGTTAAAAACCCGCTTGCCTCAATAAGCACACCACGACATTTATACTCAATCGAGAGTACATCTCAAATATTTTAATTCTATCATGTAAAAGTATTTCGTACTTTACAGAATGAAATAAATTATAAATGACGTATGCGACATTTTAGCTATCTTTAAAGATCCTGTAACTCATTCTTTTTATGGTTTTGTATCATAAATGTGTTGCTAAATTGAAGATGTATCAATATTGTAAGTTCCAAAAGCATTATTTGTAACGATATAACCTAATTTACATTTCATGTAAATAAAGGGAGGTAATTTGAAATTTATTTTCGATAAAGCCTTAGCAAATTTTTTCCATTCAGATATGAATGCATATATGCCACTGATTACTTATAATGCGTATAAACATTTTATAAAAATAAACATATATACTATTTTACTTAAGTGTTATTACATTATTGATAAAAACATACAGAATCTTTTAAGATTTAATATGCTGAAATTTTCTGTTAGAAAATATTGATAGATTATATGAACCGCGTCACGACAAAACCAACGTAATGCGTTTGCGACCAGAATGGATCAAGACCAGCCTGTGCATCCTTGCAGTCTGATCAGGATTCATGCTGTTCGCTACTTGTAATATGGTTGGTAAGCGAACGGCATGGATCCTGACCAGACTGTGCGGATGCGCAGACTGGATTGGATCCATGCTGGTCGCAAGCGCACTATGTTGGTTTTGTCGTGACGCGGCTGATTTAAGCTACGCAGCCTCTTTGTAAGTATGAAATATATATTTTTTTTATTTTAAAAAAGTAAGTATATAAAGTTTAAATATGAATATAATGTGACATTAAAAATGTTATATATATCATAATATATAAATAAATAAATTCAAACTCAATAAATGATTTATAAACCTTACCATTTTGTTGTTTCTCCTCAAAACAGATCTCTCAAGAAAATGTGCGAATATGGCGAATGCAACAGCAAGTGTGGTACAAAAGTCTTTGCTGCGTCCTTTTATTTAGATTACACGGAAGTTGCCGTCTAACAAACGCCAATGATTATACTTTCTTAAAACATGAAAAAAAATCTTCTAAGAAAAGTCTCGATTGTTATATGTCAAGCACAGCCTACTTTATTTGTCATATAAAGTGAGAAAGCATTAACCACATAAACAAATACGTTATTTGCTGATTGAGCAATATATATGATATAATTATGTAAGGTTATGCATAATTTTTCTCAAAAAATGTGATAAAAAATCGGTGGCCAATTTGCGATTCATCGAATTGCACAGCAAGATCATGCATCGTAAACATTCACCGGTGTAGTTGATCAGACTCTTTATTGTGTGTAGCTCATTTATTAAACTATACGTTTTTCAGCTTCAAAAAAAATTGTTATAAAAATCCAAACAGGGCAAAATTATAACACAACGGGGAAACTTAGGACAATTCAAACATCTCTTGACTGAAGAAAAGAAAGTTTTCCGTATGCAAATGGTCAAAGGTATTTAATGTGTCGAAAGTTTTGCTTCCAAATATTTAATAATATAATTATTATGCTCATCGAGTAAAATACTTTTATTGCAGAAATTATTTAAATCTTGTTAATTCATGTAAATTAGTAACTATTACCGACTCAGTATTAATCATAAATCATGGCAACGTGGCGAGATGACATAATGCAAAAGTCACTTCTCCGGCACAAATGCACATATATTTGCTGACCATTATCAACATCGTCTTAATATCTGAAAAAGTGATCCCTCGGAAGCACTAAAACAGAAAAAAAAATGAAAATTGCAGACTTGCTTTGATTGAGTCTGTACATGAGGGATGAAAATGTGCATCATCCCTCACGCCCCTTAGCACCAGCTTGGGCTTTGTTGAATTCTCAACACTTAAAATTGCTGGACTCAATAATCCTGAAAGAAAAGAATAACAACATTGAAATGAAGTACGGGACAATTTTTTACGGCTGCCACACAGCACTGGACACCTGCGGTTGTAATGTATAAATACATGTATCTGGAAAAAGTGAGACCTCAAAAGCATTAAAACAGAACAATTACATGTGAATTGTAGGCTGGGTTAAGACTGCAATCGACTTTGTGTTAGAAAATAACGGCACACATTGAAGACATATATAAAGGCAAAATTCTTGAACGTAATCAGGGCATTAGAGTCATGCGTCAAATTTTGGGTTTAATCCTGACATTATGTCACCGGCTGCATATCGAGACCACTGGGCTCGTCAGCATCTACGTTCGATTCGGGCAGAGTAGACTAACGTCCGTTTTATATCAACTCATGTCTCTTGAATAAGTCTTTGCCTGCACATTTAACATACGGAAAGTACCTTGTTAAACTGGCGATTTACTATCTGGTGAATTGTTTGGGATGTACTTTCAATGCCGAATAACAAAAAAAAATGTGTTACAAATCATTTGAAATACTGCAAGTCTTTTGCACAAAAAATGTTTTCAAACACTTAATGAAGTTTCAAGCAAGATTTTTTGTTCATTGAAATTAATTCAGTTTGTAACAAGACACTTTATCATATGTCTTTCGTAATAAGTAATCAAAGTTGTACTTTATGAGATTTACTTCTAGAAATCCTACTTACGATATTTCATGGAATTCCTTTAAATAGTAGATCTTAAGTGTAATTAATTTATAACACTTATCTTAACAACCATACGTTCACCAGTTTTGTACATTTGCTTAATAATTTTTATCTAATCAACGACCCGGATGTTGCAACGGATGTATGATCATAAAGTACTTTCGAGGAATTTCTTTTTAATTATAAAAAGATGTTATATTTTTGGTAGAAGTACTTTAACTGTTTATACTTGTTTGATTGACTTCAACTAACGCCCACGCCTCTAAGCACCCGCATAGACAGGACACTACTTTAGAATAAAATATGATATAAAAAACATCACTCGATAATAAGGTAACCGTCAATTTGACTTTTATATACCATTCCATGAAAAACATCGTATGGTCCCCAAATAATGATACATTTGTGCATAAAACGATACAGCAATTGAGGAAACTGAATGAGTGGAATCAGAAGTTATCAAGTCTACTTTTTTGGGCCAGCTTTGGAACTATATAATCTGGTGACAAATCGCACGAGTGAAACAAGAAAAAGATATAATTGATCAACTAGAAATGACACAAACACAACAACGCGAACGTTCGTGTACTATAGTGCATATTTTCGTAAGAACCCTTTTTTAATTTAAAAGAAAAACAAAACATATCAAAACCTCATAAAAAAGTGACAATTCTTAATGCAATATCATTGATCAACCAGTCAAAGTAGTTTTGATTGTTTTACTAGTTAACAAATATTATATTTATGTAAACCTTTTATGACATTTTATACAAATGTATAAGTAAATTTCAGAAAACACGAACGACCTTGTGAATGTTTTCGAAAACGAATTCCAAAGTTTGCACCTTGTGCAACTGGTCCTAACTGGCATCTACAACCCCATACACTATTTATACAATATATATATATAAAAATTAAAAAAAGTTATGTATTTCATTTCTAATAAAAATGGCATTTCGTATGGTAGTTAATATTACCATAATTTCTTTGAAACAATTTCATATAGGTCCGAACCAATTACTTACATGTATAAAAAATTTCAAATCATTCCGTCACATAATTATAGTCTTTTCTTGCGCAAATTGACTCAAAAATGAAAAACATTGCAACGCTTTTTACTTAAACCGAGCTAGGAATGGTAACAAAATAAATCTATTTTTTGTTTAACTCTGTGACGTTTATTTATCATTTTTTGCACATTTTCCATTTTAAGTGCAATATTTAGTCTACGTAAAGATACATTTTTCAATTTTTTTTCTTTTTACTTTTTGACCTCAGTAGATTAGATTAATTGTTTTTCCGTGGCCGAGTGGTTAAGGTCGTTGACTTCAAACCACTTGCCCCTCTTCGCTGTGGGTTCGAGTCCCGACAGGGACTTTGAATTCTTTCATGTGAGGAAGCTATCCAGCTAGCTTACGGAACGTCGGTGGTTCTACTCAGGTACCCGTTCGTGAATGAAATAATGCACGGAAGGGCACCTGAGGTCTTCCTCCACCAGTAAAGCTGAAACATCGCGATATGACCAATACTGTGTCGATGTGACGTAAAACCCAAAAACAAACAAACAATTCATTGTATTTCTATGTGTCAAAATACGACAGTTTTCAGTACGATGAAAGTGAAACATAAATCGTTCTTTCATACGCCTTTTTACGTGCATTTACCTCACTTCAAATAAAAAGTATGTGTCTTCTGCAAACATAGTGTTGTCATTTGTTTTTTCGAATAAAGAAACCAGTTTTGTAATGCGATTAAGTTCAATCGGTGTATGCATATTTTATTTCCGTTAATGTACCCCTGCGATTGCACTTTTTGTTTTACAATAAAAATTCTTATTATCACTTATGTTGATGTGAATTAACTAATTATTCTACTTTATGGCAATGTATATTGAACAATATGATTTCAGTTTAAGTTCGAAAATCCGTATTTTACAGTTCCAAAAGTGCCATTTTCGTTTTCGAACAATTAAACTATTTTTTGTTAAATATATATACAAATGTAGTTGTTTTTTTTTATTTTGTTTATTCAATTATGGATGAAAATATAGAGATACACTTAAGACAATTCCATAAGGGCGACATTATTTAGCAGTTATATATCAAGTCTCTTTCCTGATGAAAGTGTAATTTCCAGGAAAACAGGAAAGACGTTCATTTATTTAAAAATACTATTCGTTAATTTTTGTGTTGTTTCTCGTTGCAACTTTAAACATGTAAAAGCGTTGCAACTTTATACATGTAATAACAGCTATCACTTTTAAAAAAACTAACTTACTTAGTATTGTACCTCGTTTGACCTCGCTAAAACGCTTCAAGCCTACAGAACAGTTGGGCATACTTCCTGACCATGAAACAAGGGAATTTCTCTGCAAGGTTTCCCGATCAGGCAGCAAAAGACAAAATCCTTCCAGATCGGGAAGTTTATTGGCCTATCTTTACAAAGTTCAGGACAAGAGCCACCGCCGGGCGGGGGCAACGCTCGACTTTTCACTTTTTAAACGCAAACATAGAAAGGTTTGTACATATCTCAACGTTTCCTTTTTATAAATTTAGTTGGTCTGTCTTGTCATATTAGTTATATTTATCAATTTTGTATATATATATATATATATATATATATATATATATATATATATATATATAATATATATATATATATATATATATATATATATATATATATATATATATATATATATATATATATATATATATATATATATGAATAGAAACATGACGCAATTTCTAAAAATAGAAACTTAGAGCAATTCCTATATATAGAAATATGACGCTATTTCTAAAAATAGAAACATGACGCAATTTCTATAAATAGAAACATGACGCAATTTCTATAAAAAGAAACATGACGCAATATTTAAAAAAAGAAATATGACGCAATTCTATAAATAAAACATCAAGGTCAAGGTTTGTGTGGTCTACTGAAAGGTCTTGTCTCAAGGGTTGTTGTGGCCAAGTATGAAGACAATACACCAAAAAATAAAAAGTTATGATCCAGGTACAAGTTTGCAGACGGCAACGGCAACGGCAATGGCAACGGCAACGGCAACGCCGACCTGACTATAACAATACCTCTACTTTTTTTCAAAAAAAAAAGTCGAGCTAAAAAATGCATGGCCACTGCATATCTGTTTCACTTCAAATTGAATTCCACCATTTAGTGCAGAAAAGATAAATCTAAAATGCTACCGAATCATTTTCTTTTAGATACATCTACAATCAAAATAAACTGAAAATGAGTTTAAGAAAAAAGTTTTAAGATTTTACTTTGAAGTAGCTGCTTCCCGTTTCGGAAACACTGCTTCCTGATCAGACATCCAGCAAATATTCACCATTAAATATTTCCCGTTTTGGAAGTTTTTTTTTCTTTATCTTAGTGCGTTCTATTCTGAGTAAACCGCAGGGTTTCCGCTGATTTTCTTAAAAACCTATTTATCACCAAGTCTAAATATTTTACATACTGATTAGCTATTACTAGTAGATGACCCCTATTGTTTTTGGAGTCACTTTGTCAAAGGTCAATGCCACAGGGACATAAATGTCTCATTATCTTCAAAACCACTTGCTTTCAAGTATTTGTGTTTCACATTTAGTTTTTGTGTTTCACCTTTTAATCGATCATCACTTGTAGATGAACCCTATAGATTGAATTTCAGAATTATCTCCGTTCATTATCTTAAAAACGATTCATCGGTATGTTTTTTTTTTAATTTCAGGTATTGATTAGTTATAACTAGTAGATGACCCCTATCGATTCTGGGGGTTTTAGGTCAAAGGTCACATGTACTTTAAATGTCAAATGGTTTCAACTCATTATCTTCAAAACTACCTTATTTCAAGTGAAACCGACATTGTAAAGGACAAACAGTGACCTGTCGTTTAACTGGTTAAATGTACGAACAACAAACACGATGCCTAAAAGATCACGGCCACATAGCTGAAAGGTAAATGACAACTACTTTTAAAATCTACACATAGAGGTGGGTGTAAGAAAAAAAACGATCAAGCAAACTAAAAAAGACGCACACCATCTTACATAAAGCTCACAAACTGTCAAGGTATGGCTACCTACGGTATCAGTTACGTTTTGCACTTATGTCAATGACTTTCAAGTGATTGAAGCATGGTTCACTTAAAAAACACGCCATTAAGGCGTTTATTGAAAAGCAATAAGGACTATCAAAGAATCAACCAACGAGTGCAAACATAAAGGATTTGTCCAAAACTTAGACAAGAGAAAAAATAAATAAAAAACGGTACTATATCTGCATCGCTTTATTTGATTATGATTACAACATGTTAAATGATCATCAGATGCAATATCTTTCAGTGTTTAACTCTCACTCATGGATGTTGCCACAAATGTATTTGTTTTTCCAATAAAAGTGTGGGTGTGTTAATACTGAATTGTAAAATAAAAATTTTCAATCATATTTTGATAAAATGTTGCATGGTAATATGTAATTCATTAGAAATATTTTGTACATAGTCATTTTTCATGGATGCATACAATAGAAACTTTAATTAGGAATTGAGCCGTCTGTATATCCGGTGTATTGAACAACATGGTAACTAGTTAGAACGTCCACATTGAGGTATTACTTGAGATACTTTGGCGTCAAATGCCTCTTTTGTTATAACTCCGTGATCTGTAAAAGATAAAGGTAACATAATTTGAATAAAACATAACTTGTGAAACAAAGTAATTCTTTAGGATTCTTGATATTTCCAAAACAAAATGGTTTGTTGAACATAAATATTTGTTACATAATTTTTTCTTATAAGATTGTTAAAAAGGATGGAAATGATTGGAAATAAGAAGTTGTAAAACAGCCATTAAAATGAAAAAAGAAAAAAAGCGGAAGGACATATATGAAACAATTGGTTTTAAAGATTATTTTAGATAATTGTACAAATATGTTTATAACGCATTTAGGTTTATCTTTAGTGAAATATTAACAATGTATTAATAACCATTTCTATTTCCTTGCATATTATTACTTAACTTCACTCTGAATTATTTGTAATAAAATATGAAAAACAAGATCAACAAGGAAGGGCGGCGTTCAATGAACGCAACATGTTCCGTATTTTGAAAGTGCATTGAGCTTTTTTCATCTGCTGTGTGTAGTGTACAAAGTCATTGTCTAAATTTTGTCAAAAAAATACACAAACAAAAAACATTGATCAAATATGTTTGTATCCTCAGAACGAATTGCGAACGAGGTTATTGCATTATTGCTACGCGATTGAAAACATAATTCGTTCTTAAAATAACAGCAAAAACGTTTGAACTGGAACCTCTTTTTCTATTCAAGCACAAATTTGACAACTTTTAAATAAGAGAGACAGTCTATTATAAAACTCTTCCGAGGGTCAACATTTACTTAATGGAAACATGATTTGTTTGTTGTTTCCTTTTAAATACATGCCATTAGATATAGCAATATACCCTTTAATCTTCATCTAAAGCAATCAAATATGTTCAGACCTGTCACTACATCAAGATCCTTCAACACAGATGCTGGTATCATGTCAATACCAAGAACACCAAACAGTTCTCCCTCGCTTATTTTACCATCACTGTCGGCATCGTACGTACTGAAACTGCATGGGTTTTCTGGTAGTTTGACGGTGTATTTGGACCCAACCTGCAGAAACAAATTATGCCTTTTCAATATTACATTTGCAAAAGATTAAATGAAAGCAAGTGTGTGCAAAAGCCGCTTTAAAGTACATTTTTTTGTTTGGGTTATTAATCAAAATAACTTTAATGATTAATTACAATAACTAGATCAAAGAATAACGTTCAATTATGTAGTTCTTCTATTCATTTTTTTTCTTCTAAATTGGTACTTATTTTCATCTAGCATAGAAAAAAGAAAATAAAAGTAGACAGAATTATACCTACATAAGCGATTCATATGCAAATCATATTATCATACGGTATACCACTGTAACATTCCGTTAAAATTATTATGGAATTATCGTACCAGTTGTATGTTTTCAGATGTTTCCACTTCCCTCTTGTTGTTACAGTTGTGTGAACCACCGTGACAAGTTTTGTTACAACCATCTACATACCAAAGACAAGCAAGCAGAATAATAACGATCTTAGGATTCTGAAACAGAAAGTTGAGCTCAGAGATGAACAAAAAAAGACCAAAAAATGTTTATATCCCGAGAAGTAAGATATATTTCATTCTAGTTCTTCTGTCCGTTTGCAAGAGTATAAAACCCCAAAATATGCAACATCAATGAAAAAAAAACTTCCTTAAATTTCTCTCAACTTTAATTGGACTTGGTATATACATATATATCATAAGAAGAATTTTAAAGTCAATTAATAAATATATATTGTTAGTTCTAAAAAGCATTATTTGTAACGAAAACACCGAATTTACATTTCATGTAAATAAAGGAAGGTTATTAGAAATTTATTTTCTATAAAGTATAAGCCAATTTTTTTATTATATCATTATATTCTACTGATTTCATATACTGAGGTTAAGCATTTAAATTACATATATAACATATTGTGTGATCTGTCTGGAAATTGTTTTTGAAGAATAATTATATACATATATAAAATTCCACCTCGTTAGTGTTGGAGCATCTTCAATCACAACATACAGAATCTTTAAAGATATAATATGCTCAAATTTTATTTTAGAAAATATTGATAAATGATATGCTACACAGTCTCTTTGTAAATATGAAATAACCATTTTTTTTCTTTTCACAAAAAGTAAGTATATGATGTTCAAATATGAATATAATATGGCAGTGTTTTTTAAAGAAAGGACGCACTTCATTTAACATTTGTAATAGGCAATTCAGCTCAAAAATAGAAAAAAAAATTAAGCGCCAGCAAGGTATTTATACCTCCTAATATACCCGAAAATATCGTTGTATACTAAATATATTGCATAAATTCAGAATAAATAAATAAATTGAAAATAGATAAACGATTTATAAACCTTACCATTTTGTTTGTTACTCCTCAAAACCGATCTCTCAAAAAATTTGCAAATATGGCGAATGTAACAGCTTATGTGATAAAAAAGCCTTTGTCGCGTCCTTTTATTTAGATTACACGGAAGTTGCCGTCTAACAAACACCAATGATTATACTTTCTTAAAAATTCTTCTAAGAAAAATCTCGATTGTTCGTTTTCAACACATTTTACTTTATTAGTCATTTAAAAGCGTCAAGTACATATACAAATGCGTCTTTTGCTGATTATGCATATGATAATATAATGTTTTATCTATTTATAAGATATGTATGCAAACAGATTGTAGATAATAACGCGAGTGATCAGCCAAGTGACATAAAAAGCATTTAATACCTATGTTACTATATATACATGTAGTAACAAAATATAGGGTGTTTCAGGGTCATTATGGAACATGACTTAGTCATGTGTAAATAGATACTATGTGCTTTATTTAAACATGTATTTTTAACATTTTGTAATAAATGAATACTCTGTTACATGTAGTCCCGTGTGACTGGATATTGTTCGGTTGTCAGTGACCTCCACATTACCTTGTTGATCGTTCCTTTCATATATTACCGTATTTTTGCAAGGTAAACAGCCGTTACAAAGCTCGGAACAATGATGTGTCTATGGCAATTTGTCATTTATTTTGTTATCAAGAAGCGCAGTTTTGGCAGTAATTCAATTGAACAAATCTAAAAATTCATTTCAATGTCATCGAAGCTGCCTAGGAATGGCATTAATGACTTTATTCAGTTTTTAACTTTTTGAATATAAATAAGTTAAAACAACAATTTCGTTTTTATCACTGTATTTCATAAATGATCATAATTTGCCAATTAAAAACGACATATGATCCCAAAGTACAAAATGTCTGTGCACTAAAAAGAAAATTATAGGCGAAAGAGAAAACATAAATAATATAGAATTTGAAAGATTGTCAGATGTATTGAACGCTGCATATTACAGACATTGAACGCTGCATATTACAGACAAGCTGTCATAAGACAAATCTAAAAAGCAAGCAAAATATCCTAAAAGTGATTTTACAGTATTTCAGTAGGAATACTTGAACCAACCAGTACTATTATCAAAATGACTATTTCTTTAACTAAAAGCATTGCTTGCAAAATTTATTCAGTCCATGATACATGAAAAATGCCTGTGTGTCTGGTATATAATATTTATTTCCAGATTTTTTTACATGAGGTACAATTTGAGACACCCTGGCATGAATTTCTTTGGTATTAAAACTCTTTCGATGTACAAAGAGAATACATTGTTTTTGTTGTAAATTATATATAATTTTCATAGTTTTTATAAAACAAAATTTTAAAAAAGTTTGTTAAATTAGTAAGTATTATCAACTCACAATAAATCATAAATCATGACAACGTGGCAAGATGTCACTTCCCCTGCACAAATGCACAGATATTTTCTGACCAACATCAACATCGTCTTAATATCTGTAAAATTGTCCCTTGGAAGCATTAAAAACAGCAAAATTACATGCAAATTGCAGAATAGGTTTGATTGAGTCTGTACATGACGGATAATGAAAATCCCTCACGCCCCTAGCATCTGCTTGAGCTTTTCTAAATGCTCAGCACTTAAAAGTGCTGGACTCAATGATCTTGAAGGAGAAGAATAAGAACACTGAAATGAAGTACGGGGAAACTTTTGACGGCTGCCACACAGCACTTTACATCTGCTGTTTTGATGTATCTGAATAAGTGAGACCTCGAAAACATTAAAACATCAAAAAAACATGTAAATTGCAGTCTAGGTTAAGACTGATATCGACACCGCGGTAGAAAAGAACGGGACACATTGTAGACATATCAGAAGGCAAAATTCTTCAATGTGTTCAGGGCATAAGAGAGACGTGCAATTTTGGGTTTTATCCTGACATCACGTCAACGATTGCATATCTAGACCACTTGGCTCATCTACGATTTACACGGCCAGAGTTGACTTACGTCATTTTCAGTTTAACTACAAAGATTGTAGGATGCGCGTGTACAGGTGCAAAGGTGTAATATTATTTGGCTATGTTGTCGTCCAGAGGGATCATTAGTGGCATTTTGGTGTGAAGTACCGTTGAACAGCAAGTCAGCAAGTCGCACAACAGAACCTTGGCGCGGCAAAATATCAGCAGGCCATCTTGTTGCAAGTCACGTCTCTTGACTACGCCTTTGCCTGCACATTTAACATGTGAAAAGAACCTTAAATTTTTGTTAAACTGCCGATTTACAAACTGATGACTAATTTGGGAAGGACTTTCCATGCCAAATAATAAAAACAAATATGTGTTACAATTCATTTGAAATATTGCAATCATTTTGCACAAAAATAATTTAAGACACTTAATGAAGTTTCCATCCAGATTTTTGTTTATTAAAATTAGCATAATTTGTAACAAGAAATTTATAATAAGTCTTTCGTGATAAGTAATAAAGTTTGTACTTTATGAGATTTACTTCTGAGAATCCTACTTGAGATATTTCATAGAATTTCTTTAAATAGTAGATACTAAGTGTGATTAATTTATATTACTTATCTTATCAACCATACGTTTTACCAGTTTTTTTAACATTTGTTTAATCTAATCCACGACCGGATGTTGCAACGGACGTGTGACCATAAAGTCCTTTCAACGAATTTCTTTATAATTATAAAAAAATGTTATATTTTTCGTAGAAGTACTATTAAATTTCATAAAAAAGAAATAGCGACATTTCATTAATAAATTGGGTTTCATATCGACTCCAGATCTTATTTTGGTGTCCAGACAACCAAAATGAGTTTAATGAGCATAGAAATATGCAACCTCATTGCGGCGAAATCGGAAGTACAATTTATGTTTGCATAAGAAACTCCGCCTTCAGATCATTCGTACATCAATGTTAAATCAACAAATATGACTTTAAGTAGCAGTCCAAAATTAACGGTATATTTACGCATTGTAACGGATATTTTCATACACATAAAATATATAACTATGCTGTTACAGCCGTCAACAACAACAACAACAAAATTGTGGAATCAAATTAACTTTTGTTCCTGACATCAACTTTTTTAAGAGATGATTATTTTTTCTGAAGCCAAGGCGTGGTGCACCGTGAAGCTTAATTGGTTAAGTGTGTTTGCACAGAAAAATCTTATATTTGTTGTGTTCCGGATAGCAGCTATATAACACCGTAACGTAGAGCATACACGACCTGATTATAGTCTTCATTTGTATGTTAAAAATTGTATACGAACTTTAGTGTTACCGTGGGGTTTTTCATTTAAAATCCTAATTTTTGAGCAATATTTGATTAGATTTACAACAATACTGTTAAAAAATTTGATGAAACTGTAGAATGCTTGGATTTTTGGCCGACGGCAAATATTTGTACAGATTTATTTAATGTAGCTTTAAAATGTTTGATTGACATCAACTAACGCCAACGCCTCTTAGCATCCACTTAGACAGAACACTACTTTAACTACTTTAACATGTTGTTGATAAAAAACAAAAACATCACTCGATAATATCGTAACCGTCAATGTGACTTTTAATTACCATTCCATAAATACCGCATATGGTACCCAAATACGAAAACATTTGTGCATAAAATGATACAGCAATTGAGGAAACTCAATGAGTGGAATCAGAAATTATAAAGTTTGGGTCAGCATTGAAATTTTATGATCAGGAAACAATTCGCACCGATGAAACAAGAAAAAGATTTGATTGATCTACAAGATATGACCCAAACACAACAACGTGAACGTTCATTTGCTTTAGTCCAAATTTTCGTATGCAAACCTTTATTTTAATTGAAAAGAAAAACAAAACAACAACAACACAAAAGTGACAATTCTTAATGCAATATCATTGATCAACCAGTCAAAGTAGTTTTGATAGTTTTACTAGTTAACAAATATTATATCATTGTAAACCCTTTATGACATTTTATACAAGTTAATTTCAGAAATAACGAAAAACCTTGTGAATGTTGTCAAAACAAATCCCAAGTTCGAGCCTTGCGCAACTCGCCCTTACTGGCACGAAAACACGAACAACCACAACCCCATCCACACACAAGACGGATTCATATAATATTTTAAACAAATAAGTACAAAGAGGAATCATATAAAATGCTTATATTACCAAATTTTTTAAGGGAAAATAAAAGTACAAGGTTATTACGCGAAAAAGAGAGGAAAATCGTGCCGAACAAAAATATGTGACTAATAATGCTGTGTGCACGTGTCATCAACACGACTCAATCGTTTGCGACTTCCCACTAAGCCTAATTAAAAGTACAACCTAACACTTTTTGCAATCATTTTGAAAAGAAGAACTGTTTCTATGCACAGTTTTTGTTCCGTTCTTCTTGTAAACAGTCAAAGGTAAAGACAGCCGTGATGACAAAAATCTGGAAACAAAGTGATCCCTCGGAAGCATTAATCACAACATGAAAATTGCAGACTCGGTTTCATGTAATTACATCAGAATTCTTTTTATTACAATGATGTGAATTAACTTATTATTTTACTTCATGATCAACATGATTTAGTATTCATGTGAAAATCCGTTTTTTCAGCATTTTCTGTTCCAAAAATGCCCTTTTCGTTTCCAAAGCAATTAATTAACTATTATTTGTTAAATGTATATACAAATGTAGTTGGTTTTCTCCTTTTTTTGCATGTATACTCAATAATAGATAAAACTATAAAAAATACACTTAAAACAATTCAATAAGGACGACAGTACTTAGCATTCATATCTGACGAGAGTGTAATTTCAAAGAAAACAGGAAAGACGTACGTAAAAATACGACTCACTTATTTATGAGTAGTTTCGCTTAACAACATTATCCACGTAATAACAGCTTATATTCCAAGAATATCAGTTAATAAAAACTAACTTACATAGTGTTGAACCTCATTTTACCTCGCTAGAACGCATCCAGCCTATAAAAAGTTGTTTATACGATGGGTGGAGTTGAGTTTAGGGAGCAGTTACATCAGTCAATCTATAAATAGAATTGGTAAATCTGCATGAGTTCATATTATTTACATTGTGTACCGCTGAATTTCTATATTTATGCAATTTTCTAAAAAATATTGGATGTGAATGATTTAATTAATATATAACGGCCTTAGCCCTTCTCTATATAATTTTGTCGCTGAGAGTTGAGGACACTTCCATTTAAACTATACCGGAAAAGTAACCCCTAAACAATGTTAAACGAGGAATGAAACTTTACCCTTCATGTGCCTGTGTGCATAATTATTGACACACGTCATCCATTTGTGATTTATATATGATAGTTCACAATAAACAAAACATTTGGGTTTGTCTATATTTTCATCATTTCGACCCGCCATATAAAGCGGTTAACGTACGAAGAAGTGCTGACCTAGATCTCGCTTACAATTTAAGTAATTTCCCCGTCATCCTAATGAAGTGGAGCTATTACTTCAGTTCAGATACGCGCACTTCGTTCAATACTCTTAATTATTACTTGCTCGACTTTATAAACAATACATAAATATACAATTTTTTTTTTCAAATGGTCGGCAAATGATGTTGAACACTAAGGCTTCATAACCTCCCTGTACACGCTTCTTTAACTTGGGGACCATACGCCACTTTTTATGGAATGGTACGCAAATGTCACTTTACAGGTTCCATGATACCGCTAAATGAACAAATCTGCGGATGTTTATAAATTCAAAATTTCACCATTTTCATGTTTAAATTAAGACGGCGCTAGGGGCATTTTCCAGTACGGACCATGAACATGTTCAATCAAACCGAACCTGCAACTGTTTCAATTTTGTCGTTTTCGGTGTTCTTTAGGATCTCTGTTTTCCTCTAAAAAATACATTTTTCTTGTAATTATGATATAAACTTACCTTCTGAGAAATTTTATTTAAAGATTATATTTTATTGGAAGTACTATATACACAACAAATAATCTACTTAAAGTATTATTCGCACACTTATTGGTTGTTTCTATATATGTATTCAATAGTACATTTTATACATACAAGTATTTTTATGAAATTCTGAGAAGAAGTTTTCATGTCCTTTTTTTTCCAAAATAGTATTAGAAGTACTCTAAACAAATTAATGAAACAATTTTTGTATGAAATTCTTAACATTTTAATAATATTAGACTAAGATATGCTTGAAATCCAGGCAATAAAATGGAAAACTTAAAGAACACCAAAATAAGACTCGCGGGTAGATTGAACATGTTCTTGGACCGTAGTGGTAAATGCAAACTACCATCCACATTCTTTACCAACGGCTTAACAGAACTTAATGATTAAAAATGTTATGGTTTACATTACGAGCAGATGTGTTCATGCGGCGGTTCATGTATGATTTAAGGCACAAGCAGGCATCTATATAGAACGACATCTCTTTCGTAATCTAGTTAACAATCGAAAACATATTTAAAAGTACAAAGTTCATGACGGGATTTGAACCCAAAGCGGGAAGAGACAAGTGATTTAAGTCAGCGACCTGAACCACTCGGTCTGGGATAAAACTGGTCATGTCAACAATCTGTGAAAGTTAAAACACCAAACAATCTAACCTTCCAAAAAAGTTCTGCGGCATCTAAACGTTTAAAGTTATGTCTCTATCTTAGAGAGTACTTTATACATTTTATTTATCTCTGCGTAAAATGGAAGTGCAAAGGATAGGGCTACAATATGTGTATGGCAACCATATCGTAACGATTTGAAATACGAACAAAATGGTCGTTGCGTTATCTTTTTATATTTGAATGTCATATGCAGTTAGCTTTATTTTAATCTATAAAAAGTTATTGATGAAAACTTTTCACCACTAGTACATGTATAATAGTGTATAGAATGTAAAAAGATCTGCTCTTTATAACATGTTTGTCATAAATTTCTTGTCCTACGTGATTGCTATTTTGATAATTGTTTAAAGCGATGCTTTGCGGATGTTGCAGATTTCATTGTCTTTCATTAATAGACTAAAACAAACCTTATCTGCAATTATTATCACTTTTGATTTAAAGAACGCTCAAATCGTCATTATTTTGTGTGCTTGTCTTTGGTTTGTAGACGCTTGCAACAGAAGTTGTATGTAGTAGCTTTTGTTCAAGTAATGTAAATTGTTCATGGAAAGGGGCACTACTTGATATATTACAGGGAACGAAATATACGAGTAAATCGGTATGTGACCATTTTCTTATTTTTTATGATCACAAAGTTGAATTATGTATTATATAAATTATAAGGAGAAAGTTAACTGTAAGTAAATGACCGTTATTTAGCCCATCACAATTAGATGTCAGTTTCATCGAAGAAAATTAATGTCTCTCAAATTGATCTGAAATTATTTATTCCGCACAATATTTATTTTCTAACAGTTCATTTCAAAACAGTTGGAATATTTCGCTTTCTCTACAAATCAGCTTACAATACATTATCACCATAATCATGAATCACGATGTGTTAATGCTACACATTCCCACAAAGGTTGTGTAATGTGTTCAGGTAATGCCAATGCTATCATCACATATTTAAACGTTCAGCACGGGAAAATGGGACGGCTGTTGAAAATCAAAGAACGGTTACACATTTGGTATAATAACAATTTTCTATTTATTAATCTTAGATTAGTTAAGTCCCTTTGTTTTTGCATTTATTTTATCAAAATACTATGTATTATATAGACAACTTGAGTTTACAAAGGTAAAATTTAACTGAGTTACAAGGTTGTTATATGACTTAAAATTGAAATTTTAATTAAGATGTGGCAGAAGGAAAATGTTGAAAAGATTGAAATAGCATGCTCTAAGACAAAGATTTATTTTTCATATCCTATTCCAAAACCGTTCAACTCCGTAATTAAGCTCTTTTCCATTAAAAGCAATTTTGACTATCGTTTTTAATATAATTGCTATTATTATTTGTATAGAAAAGATGAATACGGTCATTATGCTCAAGGTGTCTGTTTTTTTCGTTTTTAAACCCCTGTGCATATAGTAACTGAACCGTCCGTCCGTATGTTCGAGGTTTACATGAACGACAAGTTGGATTTTTCTTAAGTTCTACTATACCAATAGCTTCATACTCTGCACACTTACTTATCAACACGAAGTACATGATCTGGGTAAGTTACAGAACTATGGCTTTCATTTTTAACCAAGTTATTGCCCTTTTCAGAGCTTTAAAAATGAATGATTGGTTAACCTAAAACGGCAAGTTGGATATATCTTAAGCTCCAGGTACACTAATGACTTCATATTTACCACATTTACTTATCAATATAAAGTACATAATATTGCCAAGTTATATAACTGTGTCATCCACTTTTCTCAGTTATTTCCCTTTTTATCATTTTGAAAATAGGGCCTTGTATGGTAAACCTATTCCGACGAGTTAGATTTATCTGAAATGTTTCCTGATTAATTATTATTTTTTAATGATATCTTTCATATTTAGAAGTTGGATACCTTAAACGGTCATCTAATTTGTTATTGAGTAAGGGGTTTCTAGGGTCAAGGTCACTGGTGTAAAAAAGACTATACATTTTACTCATACAGCCTTTATTTTCAGTTGATGTCATTCATTTAGTTTAGTAAGGGGCCATTTGGGTCAAGGCCAAGGTCACCAATGTCAAAGTTTTTTTTAACTTTTTTACATGACTATGTCTCTTAGGTTTGGTAGGAACATAAAATTGTTTTTCTCTTCGGATGGAGTTAGGGTTCAGTTGGGTCAAGGTCACTGGTGCTTAAAATAGATTTATACACTTTTGCTCATACAATCTTTATTTATGGACTGATAAATTTAATTTTTGGTAGGAAAATAACTAGCATGGAATTCTTCCTTTTGATTGAGGTAGAGGTAAGTGGGTCAAGGTCACCAGGGCTAAATTTTTTTTTACACTTTTGCACATATAACCTTTATTTATTGACAAATATGTTTCATCTCTGGAAGGAAGATAACTTGCATGGTATTCTCTTCCTTTGGATGGAGTTAGGGGTCAGTTGTGTCAATGTCACCAGTGCTAAAAATAGATTTTACACTTTTGCCCATACATTATTTATTCATTTCGTATTTGATAAGTAATTAACATGCATGGTATTCCCCCGCTTCACACTTCTAGCATGACAAACAAAAAACTGTAAACTTGACAACACACGTGACAATATAAACACGAAAATTCAATAAGATTTGCATGCCAAAATACCATTTACTACAAATGGATTAAATTCAGTTAATTCTTAATACTATATGTTATGTTACCAAACTAATTATTATGCAATTGACTTCTATAAATTTATTAGGGTCACATGGTATAAATGAATGTTTCAGTCTACTAGTATTTTTTTGTGTTAGTAATGTTCATGCTTGTTATACTGATATTAAATATTGATTAACATGAAAATGTAAAAGGGTGTATATTTAAATGATTTTTATTATGCGCAATTCAAAAGAAATCAAATATCTGTTCTATTTTATTTCCACTTAAAACGGATATAATTTAGCAAAAATGCCCTTCAGGTTATCTGTCCTTTAGAAATAGATTCCGATTTTTATAGTAAGCAAGTATTTCCAAGTTAAAAATGAATATCTTTGATAGATTTTGTGAAACTAATCTTATCAGTCTAGGTAGAACTAATCAAGATGTATCCACATATGAAGTTTCAATGTTTTTAGTTTTTTACTTAGTTTTTAGTATTGAAGTTATTGACCATAAACAAAAACTTCGTAAAAATCCATGAAACCAGACCATGCTTCTAAAATGTGGAGCTCCTCTTTCTGTCTCTTTATGTCAAGATACCAATGAAGCTAAAATAAATTCAAGTCTGTAGCTGATCAGAAATAGCTCAGAAAAAAATTGATAAATACTTAGGTGGGCAAAGTGGTGTCTCAATCAATTCCTGTTGCTTATTTAATAATGCAATGTCCATTGGTTTCAAAATTCTTAATAAAATATGTTCAAAGTAATGCAACAAGATAAGATGAGTGCAACAAATAGTTTATTTACAGATGATTAACACAAAAATTCAGCCAGTTACCCTCATTATGTTTTAGGTGCACCATATGCATCTGGCATTCTTTCTATTGAATATCTGAAAAGATAAAAAAATGTATAGTAAGAATATATCCCATTTTTTAATTTTTCTTACAATCACATTTTTATGACCTTGATTGAAGTAAAACTGATTATATCATTATCATGAATTATAGACACATACTTTAATCAATATCAACAAAATAATACATTCAGAAACCATCTAGAAGTGTGCATTTCAGTACAAGTGACAGATATCATGAAATAGCTTGTTAGTCATAAATTTTGTGTAGCTTGGCACAATGGCAAAGTCCTGTTGATTTTTAACACAATTAGAAGTATGTCTGTTAATTCTTTTAAAGAAATACAAATTTCATTTATTAAAGTCAAAATTGACTATTTTGGGTATTATTACAAGTGACTCACAATTTAAGATTGTTCATATAAACTGTACATTTCAACTGAATATATATATATGTACTAGTATATAACAGTCACACCTGCCTATATAGACCAAGATTTTGAAATGGAAAATATGGTAACTGGTCTCTTATATAATTAGTCATTTTATACTGTCAATGAAATGGGATATTAAAATGGTGAGATTTCATTGAAATGGGATATTAAAATGGTGATATTTCATTGAAATTGGATATTAAAATGGTGACATTTCATTATAATGGGATATTAAAATGGTGACATTTTGCTGAAATGGGATATCAAAATGGTGACATTTAGAGCCATGTTTTACTGTATATGTCATCTTATATTAAAGTTGCTTGCCTAAAAAATGAGTACAAAGATCTTTAAAAAGCCACACTTAACAAAAATTTATAGATCCAGAAATGTATAATTGGTCAATCAATTTTTAACTTTGAATGCATTTCTGAATATATGATAACATTTACTATTTTTATTTCGAGAATTGCACACTGTATTTTTTTAGAAGAAAAATGTCTGCCTGCAGCCAATTTTTACAAATTATAGGTAATTTCTGCATATAGTAAGTGCCATTCATAAAGTTTAATAACTTTTTTTGCACATTTTACACATCAAGATTTCATAAAAATTAGCATAAATTTTGAAACATGTTGCTTTTAAGAAGCATATGTTTCACTATATACTGCAATATTGCAATGTATTACCTATGTTGTTGAAGGTACATTATAGGTACACCAGGTATCTTTCTAATTCTTCTCTTCAAATCTTTATCACATGTTGCAACAATGTAGCATTTGTGCTGAAATTTAAATCACAACAAATGCTTTAAATAACTATATACAGCAGCAAATATTGCTAACAGACTTCATCAAAATAAAATATACTAGAGGACTGGTAGTTAAGGTCCTGCCGGGTTCAGCCCAGTGAATGTGGGTTCAAATTCTATCTAAAGTCATGGGAGCTCCTGCAGCCAAGTGATAGAACTTTAAGTCATGGGAGCCCCTGCAGCCAAGTGATAGAACTTAAGTCATGGGAGCCCCTGCAGCCAAGTGATAGAACTTAAGTCATGGGAGCCCCTGCAGCCAAGTGATAAGGGTTGCTGAATTCAATCACTTATCCCTCACTACTGTGGGTTTGAATCCTGGCAGGCACTTTGGCGGAATTATTCATGTAAGGAAGCTACCCAGGAAGCTAACCTGAAGGCAAGTGGTTCTACTTGTACCTGAAATAATGCACAACATAATACCTGACAGCTACCTCTACTAGTAAATCTGTGAGGACCGAATATGATATTTACATTGTCTGTTAGACTAAATCCCAACAAAACACATGAATGGAAACATTTAATGTTCAGATATCCCTAGGACTGGTTACTCGAGTATTCAATTTCTAATAAGTACATGTTGAAATGAATAATACTTTAAACTGATACCATCTAAATTTATTATTTTGTTATACTGACCCTGACTTTGACAATGTTTAGTTCTAATTTAAAACCAGCAGTATGAATTCAATTTTTTATAGTTTTTTTCATTGTTTTGTTTTATTTTTTGATGATTAATAGCAGAAATTAATGGCTACTTGGGTAGAACGAATATTACTCTGACTGACAACTAGTTTAGTTCCATTGAAGATTGGAACTGATTGAAGTGAGGGATTACAAAATAAAAGACCTTCATAAATATTGTTACCTACGCTTTCAATAATCTGTATGTTCTAATTGAGATTGTGTGAAATTATATATATATATATATAATTATGCTTATAAAACATCGAAGAATATGTAAAATATCTACTAAAAATATTTGTACATATTATATGTAATCATTAAAATATATGCATTCATTTCTTATTGAAAAATTTGACTTAAATTTTTTATTACCTCCCATTATGTACATGAAATAGTAAATTCGGTAATATCTTTATAAATAATGCTTTTTGGAACTTCCAAAATTGATAAATCTTAATTTGAGCATCATATTTATGATATAAAACCACAAAAAATTTGTGTTACAGGATCTTTAAATGAGCCGCGTCATGACAAAACCAACATAATGGGTTTGCGACCAGCATGGATCCAGACCAGCATGTGCATCCGTGCAGTCTGATCAGGATCCATGCTGTTCGCTTACAAACCCTATTATAAGTAGAGAAACTGATAGTGAACAGCATGGATCCTGATCAGACTGCGCGGAGGCGCAGGCTGGTCTGGATCCATGCTGGTCGCAAACCCACTATGTTGGTTTTGTCGTGACGCGGCTCAAATAAAGCATGATGAAGAACATGACTTGAAGATTAGATCAGGCTAAAGTGTAATAATAATTGTACAAATTTATCTTAAAAGTCCTATATTTCACTATTATATAAATATATGATAATCAGATATGTGATTATTGTGAGACAAAAGAGTGTTCTTTTATTTTCAACATTAACAGTATAACTTGTGAATACCTGCATTACTCTTTGTACAATACAGTCATCAGCGTATGTTCCTTTATGTAAACAAGGTAATCTCTCAAACCGTGCATCTCGTGCAATCCTGTAAAACAAAGATATAAAATTGTGTCAGATGTAACACTTAGTAGAGTAACTGACTTTCCATAATCTAGAGGGCCTCAAATCCACAGTGATGAGGGACATGTGGATCGAAGTCAACACCTTAAGACTCTCTGCAACAAAGGGTCTTAAAAATTACTAACCACAAAATTATCATTTAACTTGTCAAAATATGCATCTTTTACTCCATAAGTAACAAATAAATAACTGATGATGGAAGGAGTCAATTCTGTCATAAATTGTGTAATACAATTAAATTTTTTTATGGATTGTGAATATTAAATACAGTACAAACTCTGCAGAAAAACATTCTTTCACAGAAAATCAGTTTAGATTGTTGTGAAGTCTCATATTTATGAAAAACAAAAACTGTCCTCGGGACAATTGCTCTGCACAGTGTCACTCTGTGAAAGTTGCACTATATCAATTTTGTTTTGTAAGTTTATTTGAAGATTTATTTTACTTATTTGAAGATGTGCCACTTCAGTTCTTGTGGTATAGTCAGTATACAAAGATCTTTATTGTAGCAAGAAATCAACTGTGTTGTTTTATTCTACAGGCAATGTCAATTTCATAATTATATTATAACTGTCAAGAAATCAATTATTTAATGACTATTCAAACCTGAGTGCAACTCTGTATTTGGATCCCAGTTTCTCCAATTCTGCAAGAACACAGTCTGTGATGTATGGTATACCTACAGAAAGAAATACATACACATTAAATCTTGTTAATAACATAATTACTTGTTGGCATATAAAGGGGCATAACTTTGTCAATAATAAATTGATTTCAGAGAAAATAAAACTTGACAGGTGTTGTGACATAACATGCATGCCAAATATAATACAATTATTGTTCTTATATAACATTCTTACATACTTAATCTTAAACACAATCTTGGAAATCCTTCTAGGGTTATCCTGTAGACAGCAATTGTTTATGGACAGACAGATGCAAATACTTCCTTAAGATCCTTCTGGTGTATAAAAACTAGACAACTGACTGCACTGCTCCTCTATATACACTTGTAACTAACAGACTACTGCTCTGTTATATACACTTGTACTACTTACATTTTGCATACAGACAATCCATCATGCCTTGTATAATATCAACTTTATTCTTTATAGAGAAGTTGATAAAGTTGGTATCAATCAATACATGATATGGTGGTCCTAGTTGTGTATTGTATCGGAAGTATAATGCTGTGGATGCCTGTGGCCTGAAAAGAAAAAGATACATTATATGTTATTTTGGTTTTGGAGTGATATATGTGGATATATTACCTGCTAAGATTTTATATCACCCGAGCCGTTAGGCGAGGGTGATATTTTATCTTGGCAGGTAATATATCCACATATATCAATCCAAAACCAAAATAATAATTTTATTACCCTTCCCCTGCCAAGTTTAGACGATTTTTAAAAAAATCATTGCTGTTTCAAATGAAACGTCGAAATAAGATTCCCTTTAGGGTACCTCTTCAACACAACATGACGTCACATAAATACATGACGTATTTTTCCCGTACAAGTAGTCTATTGAAAGCACTTTTTTGTAATAAATATCAAGCTTTCACAAGGTCATATTTGTTTTCAATAGTGATGGGAATTTGTATCATTACGCTACTTTGGTAAATATTTATCATTTGACAGTTAAAAAGTGCTTGTAAATCAGAATTTACACCACGTAAAATCGAACCTTACGCGCATCACCTCACCGCATGTCGTTTACAACGTTGGGTACCCAACGGGTAAATTTAGTGTGTGTATTACCCGTCTGACTCGGTTATATCAATTTCTTTCGGGTGATCAATAACCTATCAAAAAGGCGGAAAAAATCTGGAAGGGTTATCAGAATTTATATACAGTAAACTGATTGTAAATGTAGCAAAAACACTAGTACTTGACTGGCTAGAAAACAAACATTTAAAATTTTAACAAATTTGAAAATATCAATTGCAATAATCATGACCTCCAAAAGACAGTATGAAATGGTATAAACATGTTTTTCTTCTAAGTGTTGCTTTTACTTTCTTTTCACAATTAAATCATTGATAATGCTTTAATTTATAAATAAAAAATTGTAAAAAAAAACTGTAGATCTTTTAGCTTTAAGCAGGTTTGAAAGTTCAATCTTTAAGGATCTCCACTGAAGTCTAAAAGCCATAACATATAAAATTTAAACTTTTACATAGATCAGATCACTAAAAACAGAAAGATTATTATGCAAAAGATATTAATTAAAAAATCTACTCAGTAATAAACTGAAAATTGTATTTTTGAGCCATTCTTATGCCCAATATGAGGAAAAAGTATTGAAACGCTTTCCACTTTTGGGTCATTTTTCACAATTAAAATAATCATTCTGGAAAAGGAGGGTCCTTTAAAAATATATAAAGGTATATCTAATGAAATATTTTTACAAAAATATATAGATGGTAAAATCATGTTGTTTCTATAATCTTACATTTATTATTGATATTTGGACTACAAGTGAAGCTGGAAATTTGTCACACATGTATGACCTTTACAGAGTTTCTGTGACTTAAAACCTAACAACAAATGTTTATTAATCTGCACATTTACAAACATTACTACACCATAAACATTGTTAATAAGAATTATTAGATACATACAAGTTCCTCTGAGTCATGTTAACAGATTGGTCTTTCCCTTTTTTCTTCTGTTTTCTCTTCTTACTCAGGTCACGACCTTTCCCTTGACTGAAAATTAACCAAACATAAAACTATCACCACATTTACAGCACAGACATAATTTTTTTTTAAATGTTTACAACATGGCTGAATTTGTGTAATGGCCTAATCCTGTTTTTGATTCTGGCTTAGAGATTATAAATCATTTTTTGAGCTCTGTCTAAAATCTCAGGTTTTACAATACATATATTAAACATAATTTCTCTGCTGATTTCTGACAAATCAAATACCTCAGATGACAGTTAACGGAACCAAAAGTGATAAGTCTTTGCCACTAGTATAGAGCCAGGCTAGCCTTACATACTTTTATTCCATTGGCTGACTACATGTGGGATGAAGCAAAATCTCAATTCTCTGATCCTCTAAATCTAAAGCTTGAACCAAGGCTGACTGGTGCCTAGATGCATTATTATTGAGTAATTTGATCCTGCACACCCCCAACCTTTGGTTCTTTGTAATGCGATTATAAGATCAAGAAAAATATGAAAGAAGCAATCAGTTTGAATATAATGCGCATATACCACTATGGATACGCCTTTTATAGAATGCATAACAAATATCTCATAACTTTTTAATATAAAATTTAACAATTTTTTGTATGTTTTATTATTTTATTACTATAAATTATCACAGCAATAAGCAAGAAAAAATATGAAAAAAGCAACAAGTTTGAAAATTACAAGTCATAATTATCCGGTATTAAGTCATACTGGTCATTAGCATGAACTTGTCCTTTACATTACATTAACATTATCTGGTTATGGCCGCATGCTGGTCAGCTTCTAGTAGCCTAGAACCCTGTTGTTACTCATAAATCACATCTTATATTAAAGTAACTAAAACTTCCCCGAATCTTTATTGTGAATAATTTATTTTGATCCTTTTGCAATAGCATTTACATGGCAAATTTCACTGATATACAGTCATCAGCTTTGAATAAACTGATATTGGCAGCCATGTCAAACAGGTTGATAAAATTATGTCACGCCATTATATCAATGCATTGTGAGATTTGCTTAGATAGTCTAAATATGGAAAGCTTGAACCATCTTTATGAAAGATTTTTTTAGTCATTTGGAAACAAATAGGTCTTTTTTACAATGTCATCATAAATTAAGGAACTTTTAACAAACAATAAATATAACTTTAAAAGAATACAGTATTTACAAGTATATTTATCTAAATATCTTAACCCATTACGCGATATACACACCTTTTAACGCCTTTTTCACTCCCCCCCTTTTTGTTGTCTCAAATGGTGAAAAAATACCTTATTTAGGCCCCAAAAATTTGTTTTTGTCTGAGAAATGTTGTTAAAAAAAGTGACCCCTTTTTCAGCGCGGCCCCAACCAAAAGATACATCAGGGGGTTGCCAGAAGGGGGATGTACCCCTTTCTGTTTGGGGGGGTTGAAGGGGGTATTGCCAAGAAAATTTTGGACTTGTGAGAGGCTAAAAATGACCCCAGATTGATCATAAGGTAATGTGTAACCAACGCTGAAAAGCATTTGACTCTATCTCAATCCATTGAGAAGATGCAGCACTTTAAAATCAATTTTGATGGAAAAAAATCAATGCAAAATAGTGATTTTTGGCAACTTTGAGATGTCCCCTCCTTGCCATGGTAACAGAAAATTTAAGCGTGAGCATGCTGTTGCAAGGGCAATTGTCCAGTCAACGTTTGTGCCAATTTTTATTAGTATTGAAGCAGTTTTAAAGACTTTTAAATGAAAACAGCCACTTTTCACAAAATGCTTATGAAGTAATGGGTTAAATTATTTACCATTCCGGGAAAAATATTTTTAATATTTTTACGGCAAAAGGACATTATTAAGATGAGTGCTGCAAATTGAGCGGCGAGTTGCATACCTTTACTAAAATATATGTATCAATTTTTTATTTTTTGTAGGAAATGAAGGTTATTGAGTTAAAAGCATAAACCAAATATTAAAACATGTTTCAAATGAAAAATACTGTATTATACATGGTTTTGAGAGGTAAGAGGGCTGAAGAGTGGGTGTGGGGGTGAGGGAGGGTGCGGGGGTAGTGACCAATCAAGGCGCCGAACACCTATGCAAAAGGACAGAAGCGGAATTATGATGTGACACTTTTGAAAATGTAAACAATCAGTGTGTGGTACACTTTGCAAAATATCACAAGATTTGAAAATAGATCAATACAATTAATAGGACGATACAATGGGATTCAACTATACTAGACGCTACATGATTAGGAACCCAGGTCAAATTTATAAATTTTACTTCTGTTTATACTTACATTCTTGAGTCTCTGAGATTAAGAACTCTTTTGACTTGTGCAAACTTTTTTGCCTGTTTTGCTCGAGCCTGAAATCCATAAATATCATTATCAATAGAAAAGTTAGTATGCAATAATTATGGAGCTGGTCTATCCGATGCAATCCGGTCAACTCGTCCCCTGGTCAACTTGTCCTCTAGTCAACTCGTCACCTTTTTGGTCAACTCGTCCCCTACTTTTGGTCAACTCGTCCTCAAAGAGTCAACTCGTCCCTAATATGGTCAACTCGTCCCCTACTTTCGATCTTTTCGTGACTATTGTGTTGTAAATTAATGTCTTTAAATAGTTCTTTATATAAAATTACAGACTTCCCGAAATACGTCGGTCCGACGGACATGTCCGATAAATTTTGATCAGGTCCGACAATTTTTTATTCCGGATCGGTCCGACTGTCCGGCTTTTATCCAAGCCGCATGTATACAAAATAGCATCGCTAAAGGTGCCAAACCTGGGAAAAACCGAAAATCTACGTCAGAAGAGTGCGCAGAACAGCAATAAAAGGATGAAAAGAATAGACCCGAGACGAAATTTAATGAAAAATGGAAGCAGAACCATGAATCATTGGTGTATGACAGGGAGGAGATGAAAATGCGCTGTTAGGATTGTGCCGATTTTTACGGCAAAAAAATAAAAAACAAAAAGTGTCTTAGAAATACAAACACAAGTTTTTCTTTGATTTTGATCAATTTTATTTGGTCTGACAGATTTTGTTTCGGTCCGACAGATTTTCATGGTTTGTCAGACCGAATGTCTGACAGTTTTTTTCAACTTTCGGGAAGTCTGAAATTAATAATGAATTTGATTGAAATGAGTAGAATCCGTATACTAATAAGGAAGTTATGACCAATTTTTAAGTTTTTGGACAATTTGACCTTCAAGGTGAATGTCATTCAGGGGTCAAGGTCAAAATAATATAGGATAGTTGAAAGGCCTTGTCCAAAGATGTGTTGTGCCTAAACATTATGCCAGGGCATTATGGCCAATCTTAATTGTTTTTGGACAATTTGACCTTCAAACTGTTAAAGTGAGTTATTTTTCAATGACGCGCCTATAGTGTAACGCGCTAACATTAGCTTGCTTTAACGCTATGTTTCTATATAGCGCAATTAAATGACGTCACGTCAAAGTGTTATTACACTAGTGTAATATCGTTTTTATTAGATGGCTGTATTACACTCCTGCGCCAGGGTTTATGTGATAAATACTTATTATTAGATAAAAAAAACTCCAAATATTCGCATACAAAAAGCGTCAAAATATGTCCAATTCAGTAATTTTATAAAATGTTATTTTAACAGTCTATAATAATTTATGAAATATATGAAAAACAAATAATAATAAAATATAGGGGACGAGTTGGGGACGAGTTGACTAGGGGACGAGTTGTCCAAGGGACGAGTTGACCAGGGGACGAGCTGACTCTGAATCTATCCGATTACTATATCATATACCATAAATCATCTGCGGGATTTTTACAAGGCTTATATTAAATTATTCTAACAGAAACATGTAAAATATATATAAACTAATAAAATTATGTCTATTTATAAGGAAATAAAAAGCATTTAAACACAAAAATAGTTATAAATATGCGTACCATGATGTTGTTGCAGCTGCAAGGGGAGATAAATTGGGTTGGAAAGCTGTCTTCAAAAGCCTTTAACAGCTACAGTACTTCGCCCTTCAGTTAAAAATAAACCAAGAGGCATTCGTGCATGAATAAATCGATAAATTGCTTGACATTAGAAAAAGAAAATCATTTCATTTTTTTCCGTTACTATAAGTATACTGGTGCCTCATATTTCCATGGTACCCATGATTCCAAGGTATTACTGGTTGGGGACCACCAAAATCCGGATAACCACCAAACGCGGACGGCCCTGAAAATGCCTGATTTAGTTTTTTTTCTTTGTTCAGCGGTTATCAATCTATCGGTCACTTTTTAATCAACAATACATGCATATTTCTTCTGTAATTAAGTAACTGAATTTATTTCAAGTGATGTTAATATTTGCATGTCTATTTCAATTTCATTTATGTACAGTATGGTATACAACCTCAATTTAAAAGTTTTGATCATGAAGTCCACAACTGCTGGGCTTCACAACCCCATTCCCCCTCTCAAAATTCCACTTCAGTTCCGTCTATTGTTTTCTCGTTTATGGCACACACATTCTTTTACTTGGGGACCATATGCCGCTTTTCATGGAATGGCACTAATCTAAGTGTCACATTGAAGGTTCCGTGATGAATACATCTGCGGATGTTTCAAAATTCCAAATTTTACTATTTCATGTTAAATATTGATTACTGCTTCAGTCGGTGCTAGGGGGCGTGAACGGTAACTTGCACTTTCTGTTCATGAACATACTCAATCAAACCGAGCCTGCAACATTGTCATTTTTATATAACACTGTTCTATTTCACACAAAATACAAGAAACTTTTTTTAAGTTGGTTTACAAATTACACGAAACATTATTTACCGACAATAACAAAGACATAAAACATATTTACTAACATATAACAGATCTAAAAACCCTACACCCTACTGTAATTAAGATAATTATATAAAATAATTCAACAAAAGAAATATTTAGAAAAGATGTTTCAGTTTTATTATTCAATAGTTATTTCATCAAGTTTTCAACAACATAAACTTACGTGTCAAACTAGATTGTATTTTGTTTACATCAATGCTCGAATAATCATTCTCTAAACACCATTCATGCCAGTTTAAAATGCCATTATTTTGGCACCTTGCGAATGGGTTGCATGCTTAGTATGACGTCCTTACGCTGCTTACAAATTGGCGCTGTTTTTCCTTATATAAAATTTTATAAACTGATATTGTTAAACCGCTTGCGTTTATGTATGTAAGGTATTATTTAGCATAATACATGTATGAAAAGAAAAACATAATAAGAACGGAAAATATCAATAAAATGAGTTAAATTATTATTGCCTTAAAAAGGATCTGTAAACAATATTATAGGAGGGAGATAAATTAACAACCGCATATACATGTAGTCTCTAACCAGTGTTTATTGTGAGCTTAAAGCCGTTTTTTTTCATTGTGTATAGTGACAAAATTACGGGGAGTGTTAGAATTGATTATAATATATATGTAATTAACATAATTATGCAAACCTCTTATCTTTGTTTTAATAAAGACACATCTATTTTCCGCATATGTCTGATTAATTTATTTGCTGTAAAGAATTGAAAGGATTAATGCATTATTGTACATAATTAAGGCAATCCTTTTACCACGTTACAAGTGCACTATATTAAATACATGCATGATGAAATCAAATAATAATCACTTATTATCGCCGTTCCTGGACGGTGATACATGTATATACAATTGACAAGATTTGAACAGTTCTAGATGTACACCGCCTGCCTTTAGCCGATCAAAGCGAATAAATCAATATCATATGATAACAAAATGGACGTCAAAAAACGATCAATGTGCCAATTTCGAATCTGGACTGATACAAGAACTGTGCAAATTAGGAAACATCGCCAAATCTCGCACAACGCCATATCACGCTATGGGCAACGGTATGACGGAAAGATTTAATCAGACCCTGTTGAAAATGCTTGGGACATTGGAAGAGAGCAAGAAAAGTGACTGGAAAGTTAATGTCGGACCTCTGGTACACGCTTACAACGCCACGATACATAACAGTACTGGATTCTCCCCATATTTCCTAATGTTTGGAAGACATCCTAAGTTGGCTATAGATGCTCTACGTTCATTGAATGCCGCCTTTCCTTGTCGATCTTGTTTATCATATTTTGGTCTAAACTTTAATGAAATACAGTCGTAATCAAGAAATGAATACGTCAAAAAGCTCAAAGACCGGCTAACATATTCATATGCAAAAACAAAAGAAGCTGCAGAAGAAACAGCCATGAAAAACAAAGAATTCTACGACAGAAAATCAAGGGCATCAAACTTACAACCAGGAGATGTTGTTCTAGCCAGAAATGTCACCATCAGAGGGAAACATAAGATTGCGGACAAATATGAAACAGAACCATATATCATTGCAGAACAACCAAACAAAGATACGCCAGTATATGTCATCAAAAAGAAGAATTCAACAACAAAGAAAACTAAAACCTTGCATAGAAACCTTTTACTTCCAATAAAAACAACAGTAACAATTAAGTGACAACAACAATAGCGAAAGTACTGAAAAATACATCATACCACAGAGAAGGCAGATGAATAGCGAGCATCCAAATACAGAGTCGTCCTCAAACTCTGACAGACCGAAGCGACAGAGGCGTGTACCAAAGCACAGACGCTTGGGGTCATATCCTGCCCCCCAACGTGAACGCCCTTGTAAACACTCTACCAAAACTATTTTAATATTTAAAGACGAATGGGACATATATTACAACGATAAAAATGGTTTTCAAACAATTTTTACATATATGAAAAAATACCGTATACCATCAAGTCTCAAGGGATTCATACTTGTGTGAACACATCTGCGGATGTTTCTAAATTCAAAATTTTACTATTTCATGTTTAAATGTTGAATTCTGCTTAAGCCGGTGCTAGGGGGCGTGGACGGTAACTTGCACTTTCCAGTACCGTCCATGAACAGGCTCAATCAAACCGAGCCTGCAGCATTTTCAATTTTGCCGTGTTGGGCTTTCTTTAGGGATTCTGTATTTATCTATTTCACAATTCTTGAAGGAGATGATACTTACCTCTGAAATTCTCCATATGTGCAAAGAATGGAAATCTAAATCCCGAATCGCGTATACATGTACTCACTAAGTGGGATTGAAGTATATTAAATGTATGTACTATATTATATACATGATACTAATATAAAATTATTTATTTCAGGTGGACGTTAACGTCACAAGCAGATAATCTGAATATAATTGTTTTTCAGATGTACATTGTTCACTTGACTGAAAATGTCGGGACGACATTTTTGTAGCTGGGGGGAATATGTCATAGGGTTAATATGTATAATTATGTTATAACATGTATGTTTTTTTGTATACTTTAATGCTTATTCTGTTTCAGATACACAAAGAAATATACGACTAGACATAATAACATAATATTGCAATCAAATAGTAAAAAAAAAATCTGGAAACAAAGTGATCCCTCGGAAGCATTAATCACAACAAAATTACAAGAGAATTGCAGACTCGGTTTGATTGAGTCTGTACACGAAGGATAATGAATATCACCGGCTTGAGCGGTACTCATTTCTCAACACTTAATAGTGCTGGCTACAATAAAGGAATTTGGCAAGAAATAAAATATTATTTCTATACTGTACAGTATTCATGGCTGAACGGCAATTCCAAGCATTTTGCTAATACTTGTTCCTTTTATTATGTACCTGAAAACTTATTATTATTATTATTAGGCTTTTGAAGTAATGTCTGATTAATTGACCGAGTTAGGGAAGTAGGAAATGGCATCGACACAAAGTTCGGTGTCATCAACGCCTTTAGAAACACATCCCAAGTTTCGTGTTGGCGTGCTGACAGGTACAGCTTAAATATTTATATTGTTGCTAGACATATTGTAATTTATGTTTGACTTCTCACGTTAATATGATATTGAGTGCTTTCGTTTTTTATTCGTCCTCAAAATTATTCGTGCCTAGTTCTGTAGATCTAGTTCTAGAAAAATTGTAATATCTCTTGTTATTTTAATAGATCTAGAATTAACCCCTCCCCCCAAAAAATATAAATAAATAAAAATAAAACATAAAAAATGAGGCATATTGTATTTGTAGCCTAAGTCCTTTCCGACCGTCTGTCTCTCTGTCCAAACATTGTCTGGTCCAGAAGGACAGAATTACGGACATTTCGGACCACGGACGTTTCGGACCAGACATTTCGGACCAGATTTTTGGGTCATTTCGGACCAGATTTTGGGACATATCGGATGGTCATTTCAGACCATGATGGGGACACTTCGGACCAGAACATATGTATTCCTTTTTATATATAATTATTTGTTATTTCAGGATGTATTTACAATATTTGACATTTTATATATTTTATGATATTCAAAATGCATGCAGTAAAGACCTGTCCGACGCGATTTAACATTTTCGGATAAGCTTATATTACCATTGTTTTGGCTATCCATGTAAATATTTCTATCGTAATTCATTTATGTATTTCTATACGCTGACAATTTTTTAATATTGAAAAAAATTTAAAACAATAATAGAATACCTTAAAATTTAGATCTATATACATATTTAAAGTCAACTTTATCCAAATTAAATCGTGATCTAGCAGGTATTAAAGAACAACGACATCCTTGTCAATGCAGTTTTTCACACGTTTTAATTGCTGAATAGAACTCGTTTAAGTTACGATTCACTCAATTAAAGAAGTATGTATGTAATTTTCACCTAATTTTACAACAAATAATTAAATTGATTGGATTAGATTGGAATGCGATTAAAGTATAGTTTTGATTAACAATAAACAACAAACAAATTGATTAATTGTAAACATTTTGGCCAGGCACTATGGAGGAAAGCCCAAGAGTATGGACTTCAAGTAAGTGAAATAAATTCATTTTATTGAAAAGAATAATTACTGAATAATAATAATAATAATAATAATAAAATCTTTTGGTATATAAAACAAATATTTACAAGAATAATTGCATGTATTGGTAAAGGAAAAAAAAGTTTATATTAAAGTTCATAATTTCATTATATACATATTTTTTTCCAGACAGCTTTCAACGACCAAGACGCTATACATCAACTTATGAGGAAACTGTTCATTTTCATTTTCTTCATTTATAGTGCAAAATATATAAAATCTAAATCAGGAGAGGTGTAAAATCGTTCTATTGTGTCAATATATATATAAAGTTTCTATAGTTTATCGAATAATTGATGCCTAATATATCAAAAAATAATATTTAATCTGGTCCGAAATGTCCAAAACAATGGTCCGAAATGTCCAACACATGGTCCGAAATGTCCAACACATGGTCCGAAACGTCCAAATATCTGGTCCGAAATGTCCCAAAATCTGGTCCGAAGTGTCCCAAAATCTGGTCCGAAGTGTCTGGTCCGAAACGTCCATGGTCCGAAATGTCCTATTACCGTCTATTTACCCCAAGACACCCCAAGATTTCCCCAAGACTACCCCAAGACACCCTAGACTACCCCAAGACTACACCAAGACCACCCCTAGACTACCCCAAGACTACACCAAGACCACCCCTAGACTACCCTTTATGTACAAAAAACCTAACATACCTTTGACTCCAGTTCACTTGCTCAAAATCCACCGTATACCGACAAAACGTCTGGAAGGTTTAATGTTTATCTAAACCAAAATTATTTTGAAATACTTCTTAATTACGTAGTATACGGTGGTTTTTGAGCAAGGGAACTGGAGTCGAAGGTATATTAGTTTTTTTATATAAATAGAAAAAATGATAAGTAAGATTATTTTTTTCTACCATAAATACCTCAGGACATAATAATATAGCTCATTTACAATAAATATAACCCTTCTGACTGTTTAAATTAACAACAATGCTTCGGGACGCTTCAGGACGCTTTGGGACGCTAAATTTCTTCGGGACGCTTTTTAGTGAGACCGCTTTTACTGACATGTAAATACGGTCTTCATTTCACATTGTCTACGAGAGATAACTATGTGATTTCACATGTACACATTGAATTAACTGCCTTCATTTATTTTACCTATATTTTTTTAATGATATGAATTTTGATAAAAATACTCAGATGTTCATGCCCAGTCAACAATTCTATCATTCCAGGATGAATTAAAAATAATTATGCATAAAAGTGTTTGGTCTAATTTGAAGTTTAATTGTGCATATTGTTGGCATTTTCCAGTTCAATGATTTTTGTCAGAGGTTATGGCCCTTTTATGATTTTTTATTTTTTAAGTTTGTCTGGCCTACCACTAATGCAATTTCAAGAAATTTTACAGGATTATTTGTTAGCTGAAGTTCTTGCCCATATTACAGGGGTTTTCCGCTTGAATGATTTTTGGCCCTTAAATAAAAAAGGCGTTAATAGTTAATAAAGTTTGTTTAGACTACTCTTATATTACTTATGTAATTTCAATGAAATTTTACAGGATTAATTGGTTGCTCAAGTACTAGCACATAATACACAAATTTTTCACTTGAAAGATTTTTGGCCGAGTTATGGGCCTTCAATAAAAAAGGTGTTTTTTTGTGTTTCCATCTACATAGAAGCTTGTTTGGACTATTCAGGAATGATTAGTGATCAATACTATGTCTAGTTGTGCATCTTATCAACATTAATTTTTTTAAATGATTTTGTTAGAGTTACGGCTCTTTAATGATTTAAATTTTTAAAATTTGTCCGAACTACTAATGCAATTTCATAAAAACTTTACATAATTGATCGATAGCTCAAGTACTTGGCCAATTATGGCCCTTGAATAAAAAAAGCATTTAATTTATTATCCCCGCCGAAAAGGATATAGAAATAGTCTCCATCCATCCGTCCTTCCGACCTTTCGTCCATCCTTCCACCCGACATTTTTGTCCGGAGCATATCTCAAAAAGTATTTGAGGTATCAACTTGAAACTTCATAGGTGGATAGACCTCATTGAGGAGGAGTGCAGTGCACAAGAATTATAACTCTACCCTGCATATTTTTTGAGTTATTGCCCTTTGTTATTTTTCAAATTTAATTTTTGTCCAGAGCACAACTCAAAAAACCTTTGAGATATCAACATGAAACTTCATAGGTGCATAGATCTCACTCAGGTGGTGTGCAGTGCACAAGAATGATAACTCTACCTTTCATAATTTTTGAGTTATTGCCCTTTGTTATTTTTCATACTTAATTTTTCACCTGAGTGGTGCATAACTCAAAAGTGTTTGAGATGTCAACATGAAATGTCATGGGTGGAAGGATCTTATTGAGGAGGAATGCTTTGCGCAAGAACGATAACTCTTTGCTTTATAATTTTTGACTTATTGCCCTTTGTTCTTTTTCATACTATTTTGTCCTGAGCTTATCTCAAAAGTATTTGAGGTATCAACTTGAAACATCATAGGTGGATAAACCTCATTGAGGAGGAGTGCAGTGCACAAGAATGATAACTCTACCATTCATAATTTTTGAGTTATTGCCCTTTGTTATTTTTCATACTTAATTTTTCATCTGAGTGGAGCATAACTCAAAAGTGTTTGAGTTGTCAACATGAAATGTCATAGGTGGATAGATCTTATTGAGGAGGAACATTTGCAAGAATAATAACTCTTTCTTATATAATTTTTGAGTTATTGCCCTTTGTTCTTTTTCATACTATTTTGTCCTGAGCTTATCTCAAAAGTATTTGCGGTATCAACTTGAAACTTCATAGGTGGATAGATTTTACTTAGGAGGGGTGCAACACACAAGAATGATAACCTATCCTGCATTATTTTTCAGTTATTGCCCTTTGTTATTTTCAGCCATCAGTATTCACATAGGTTTTAATTCTGTAATCACTTCAGCCATCAGTTTTCATTACCAAAAGACCTCTTTTAATTGAATTATTCTGCTCTACTACATATACATTCTTCCAATGAGCAAAGACATTTGATGGGGGTGGCCATGTTGACATGGCTCTTTTTGATTTTTGTGTCTCTTTCTACACAGTAACTGCAACATACAATTGACTATCATAAGGTTACAGTATTTTTAGCTCGACTTTTCTATGAAAAGGGGAGCTATCCTACTCGCCCCGGCGTCGGCGTCGGCGTCGGCGTTGGCGTCGGCGTTGGCGTCACACCTTGGTTAAGTTTTTCGTACCACCCCACTTTATTTCAGAAGTATTACAAGTATGGCTTTGAAACTTACCATACTTGTTCACCATCATAACCTCCATCTACAGACAAGAGTACATAACTCTGTCAAGGTTTTTGACAGAATTATGGCCCTTTTTTGACTTAGAAAGTGTATTGAGCTTGGTTAAGTTTTTTGTACCACCTCACTTTATTTCAAAACCATTGGAGGTATTGCTTTGAAACTGACCATACTTGTTTACCATCACGACCTTCATCAACAGACAAGAGGACATAACTCTGTCAAGGTTTTTGACAGAATTATGCCCCTTTTTGACTTAGAAAATACATTGAATATGGGTAAAATCCACTTATTGCCTTAACCCTTTGAGATATTGCTTTGAAACTTTTAATGCTATTTCACATCATTACCCCCATCTGTACGCAAGAGAAGGTAACTCTGTCAAGGATTTGTTTTAAAAATTAAGGCCTTTTATCGACTTAGAATCTTGGTTTAATACTATTAAATTTATTTAAGGCTCAACTCAGTTTTTTTTTCTTTCTTACCAGCCCTCTTTTGACTTAAACATTTCAAACTTTGCTGCAGTGTTCAAGGGTATCACACAATTCAGTAAAATAATTCTTCACTAAATATCTTAATGCTCATGGCCATTGTTCACTTTAAAAATACAGAGATTCTTGTATTGCCTTTTACTGCAAAAACTTTTTTTATTGGCAAGCAATAAAAAAGTCGAGCGCGCTGTCTTACGGACAGCTCTTGTTAAATAAGTTCCAGTTTGGCTAGCAGTACAGACCCATACAGCTAGCCTCTTCATTATATTATAGATACTTTTAGGAACAGTAAATATTCTTTTACAGTAAAAATTTGTGATAAAAACACATATTTGTGCTTTATTTCTTCTATATTAACTATGAAATGACAAATTTCTTCTATTTTGTGTTTATTAAGGAGAATTTCTTTCTTAAAGTTTTTACAGTTTGTTAGGATAATTCCATACACCCAGATATTTTTTGTTCTTGGTCAGAATCAAGCTTTTTGGTCAAAATCTCAGATTGTAGTACCATAGTTGTTTAAAAGTGATCAAATTTTTTTATCATGATTAAGATAAGTTTTTGATATTTCAGTGAGTGATTCCTGTCACACAGGAACTACAGTTGACAAAAGTGGACCAAATTTGAAGAAGCTAACAAATACACTCCTGTAAGTATACTTTTTTTTCCATAAAAATACTAATATATTTTTTTGATTTTGTTTAAAATTTGTTTGTATAAAACCAAATTTTTGACTCAGCACCCCCTTGTTTCATGGGCCTCATATAAATTTTTACCCCTCATAAAAGTATTTTAAGGGAATTGAAAAACCCCACTGGGGACACATGTCATACTTCAGATCAGGAAATATGATACCCTGATCTTGGGCCTATTAAATTGTAATTACTGTATCAATGGTAAATTTTGCGATGTGTTAATACTTGTGAATTGAAATTATTCGCAAATATTTGAGTGAGCAAGAAATATTTCTTCTTCTTAACCAATCACAAATTTTTAATGTGACAATTATTGTGTCAATAACATATTAGGTTACTCACATATAACTGTAGGATAAATAAATGTGTGATCAGGTCCTTTATTGATCAATAAATGTTTACTTCAAACAGTCAAAGAATTATTAACAAAAGTATCAAAGAATTGTATAGAATGATCTCACTAATGTAGTGATTTCTTAATCTTTATCTACTGCATGGCATTTCTGTTATCACAAATATATTATTACAATATTTTAAGAAATCATTTTTTTGCAAATATTTTCGTACGTAAATAGTCCACTTTTGGACATTTGCAAAATTTTTTGTGGTGCAAAAATATCCACTTAAACAGTAGTACATGTATATTTGGCCTTATTCACTCTAATGGTATTAAAAATTTGTATTGTATGACATAAAATAACTCTGAATATATATAACATAGTGCTGAAATATCACCAGTTTCATGCACAACATAGTATTTGATTTCAGATTCACATGATTTGAACATGTGTTCCAGTTACTTGAAATTATAATATGTTACAGTTAGTTAGACATGGAAATTATATCATATGTTGTAGTTAAACACTTGTTTCTATAATAAATGTGAAAATTCAATCAATTGTAATGATTTTGTGCACAATATAATGATTACTACTTGTTTACGCTAGCCTAAAATTTTTCCCTCTTTTAGGACCATAAATCTGCTGTTTTTTTCAGTGGAATTCCCTTATCTGGGTGGTTGGAAATATGACATGTTTGCACTGTAAAAAAGTAAACAGTCATCTCTATCTCTATAACTACAAATCTGAACTGCATCAATATGATTATCTAACTTGATTATATGACCGAGGGTGACATACAGGTAATTGACAAATTCATCATTTATTATCCAATGAAAAATGAATAATTATCTCATTTTGACATGATAGAAAGCGTAACTTGAAACATCTGCATTTACAGAAACAATGGATGTGTAACAGCCCAGGCAGTTGTTCCTGATGAAGTGGAAGAAATCAAGGTAAGAATTTCAAATTTGTTTGTGTTAATAATTAACAGAAACAAAGCTTTTTAAAATTGAAAAGAAAATATTTACAAATAAAACACACACAAAAAACAGATGCTCAAGTTAATTAATGAATTTTACATTTTTATGGTACATGTAAAAGTGTTTTATTCAACCTTACCATATAATTGTCTGCTTAGCTAAATAGGTAGGGTGTTGGACTGTGACTGGGGCGACCGGACCCAGGTTCGATTCCTGGATGGTTGGGTCACTTTTGTTTTGATTGATCATGAAATCCATTCTGAAGTCATTTGACTATACCGTTGCTCTGACATGTACAGATATTTTCAGTTGTAGGCAACTGGTACTTGTAACCTGCCTAGGAAAGATACTGTGGCTGAACTGTGCTCTAGTGAATTAAAAGTGGCTTATGGCCATGATCCAAAGGGTAAACTACCAACACCACCACAAACCCTTACCATGCTAAATATCTTAAATGGACTTACCAGTTTTCAAATTGGACAAAAACATTAATAATTTTTGAGAAACTTTTTAAAAATACGGAATGCCTGAATAGTGAACAGTGCAGACCATTGTCTGGGCTGCCGATGTTGGTCTGTACTTATCACATATGCTAAATCTATTGCCATCAGCAAGCAAAGGGTTGAATTGAATATTATATATAATTTTAAAGGGACTCTACTGAGGATTTTTGACATGATGGAACTGGTAATAATTTTCGAGATTAATGCTCTGTTTGATGTAGGTCTAGACCAGTAACTTCTGCGTAAAATTTCAGATTGTTACCTCACTCCGTTTTTCTAGAATAATTATTCTTATTGTGAAAAAGGACCTAAAATTGAAAAGTGTTGCAACGCTTTTAGACATACTCGGACTTGCACAAAAATATGATTTTCAAATTATTTCTTAGTATTCCCTAATCATTTTTTGCATATCTTTCTGTTTTAAGTGTCCCTGGTGATCTATGTACGAAATTCAAATTACCTTATGTTTTGGGCTTTTGGACATCAGTGAAGTTCTTTAAAGGGCAAATATATTTTCAGAATATTTATTATGAATATTCAGCATGTTACATTTTCAAAAATAATAAAGGAAGAGATACACAAATGTGATACATGTATATGCAACAATAAAAACTTTTAATAATGTAAATGAGTGATAGCATAATGTATGAAGTAAAGAATTTGTTACTTTTACAGAAAAAGTTGGTGGAATGGTGCGACAAGGACAAACTGAATTTGATTTTTACTACTGGAGGTACTGGGTTTGCACCAAGGGATGTTACCCCTGAGGTAGGTATTTGCCCCTGTAAAGTAGTCAGTTAATAAGAAAAACAACTATTTTGTGTGATGTGTAAAATGATAATTTAAGGTCATCTGTGAGAAATTGCCACATAATGTACACTGACTAATGAAAATTGTGAGTTTTAAGACAGAACTCAGGAAAGTTATATCTCAGGAAAGTTATATAACCTAAAGGTCTGTACTTTTTACATTATGTTGAAACATGGTTGTGACCCTGGTGCGTCTTGAACCCACGTTCCCTAGGGTTAAGGCAGACAGCTTAACTGCTCAGCTATTGCTCTGCTTAACTTGTGATTAATACTGCCATGTCAGATTAAAATTTTGTTATATTTCAGGCAACAAGAAGTGTGATAGAGAAAGAGGCATTAGGTTTGTCTCTTGCAATGTTGAAATCATCTCTGGAAGTCACACCTATGGCTATGTTGTCAAGGTAGATATTGGCTCAGAATTCATTCCTCATTTTTATATTAAAAGCTGGACAATTCCAAGAAAAGGGATGACTATTGTACTCACCCAGGCATTGTTAAGTTTTTATGTGCAAGTTTGACACCTTTAACAATTGTTCTCTGTGATTATCTTACATTCCCATAACTCTGAGTTACCTTTTCACAGACTTATGCCCCTTTTTTACTGTCTAGCACTAAGATTAATTGTGTGCACTGTCATATGAACAGCTCTTGGTCATTTTGTTTTATGCAATATCAATCTTTTAATGCTGTATGTTCAAATCCTGGTTATATGTCATTGATTTAAACCAAATAACAGACACAGAATAACAAGTATATCTGCTATAAGGTCATATGATATGTTGTATTAAACTTTATTATGTAATAACCTGCTAGATGCTAGAACCTGAAGTGATAAGCCTTTGCCATTATTTTTGAGCCCGGTAAGACTGAATGGATCCTACACATTTGTGTTACCTGATCAGGTTCTAAACTGATGATTGTTCAAATCTTGTATTTTGAGATTTAAATCTCTTAAACATCAAATTGACCGTTTTATATTTAAAGCAGGGCAAATCCGATACACAAATATAGCATGTTAGGTATTAAGATGATAAATTCCATCAGCTATCGTTTGCCTTTACTAGTTATTTAAGGATGAACTTGTTGGAGTTGATTATTTAATAAAAAGTCTGTTTTGTTGCCACTAACTTAAAAATACCTAGTTGTTAAGTCTTCATATGGTTAAAGTTTTAATTTGAACTTAACAGTTAAAATTCTAGTTCAGATACATTTATTTTGGCTTAAAAGTGATGAAAGCTTGAACCTTAAATTACAGTTGACTCTTAATATCTCCAAGTCATACAAAATATCAAGATACAAAATGTCGAGATAAACTTATTAGGGTTTGAACCAGATAGAAACTGAAATTTACAAAAGACATGTACATATCTGAAGTCAAATAAGCTAAGTATGATATCTCCATGTCTTGTTTTCTTGAGCCATATATCGCAAAGTCAATATTTAAAAAAATAGCGGATGTTTACCAGCAGAAATACAGGAGTAGGTGATAAATGTACATAGTGAGATTTACTCAGTAATACACCACAATAGCGAAAACATTGTCTCCAGCATGGTGAATCCAAGTCAAGATTACGATAGTTGACTGTAATTGTTTTTCTCTTTTAACTTCATCAAGTAACCAAATATTGGTGTCATACCAGGAAAATATGGTTGTAAATCCTATATGATTTTAACCCATAATCCTCTGTTGAAAGGAATACATTTTAATCGCTAGGCTACCCTTCCATATTTTTAATTTGCTACTGAACAAGCAGTGTGAATGAACTGACCTATATTGATTGATCTGTTTCAGACCAGTATGTGGTATAAGGGGAGGTACAGTGATTATCAACTTGCCTGGAAGTGCCAAAGGATCAGAGGTATATTTATGTTAAGATTGTCATAACTTTATTGTCAGGGTATACACTGCCTTGAAATGTTTAAAGTAGCATGCCTCTAGATTCATGCTTATTTTCATGAAAATTTTGAAAAGGTATTTGAATGTGTAATATTGGAAAGTAACCAAAAGGAAACAATTTCCTTATTATCAATGGGAATTGCAAACCATGTAAATTACCAAAAAGTGGTCAAAATATGCATAAATAACCTTTATTGCGTTAGTAACGCTAATAATAATAATAATAACGCTAATATAGCTGTAAATAATGAAAAATCAGTCATTAATCGCACATAATAGGTAAAATATTACTTGAATCTTGAAACTTTTTACGTCTCCTTAGATCTTAGTACAAGTTTGATTTTATTAAAATATTTTGACTCATCTGGAGGCATGTAGCTTTAAAGGTGCTATAAATAGAGGATATTGGATGAATGTAGGTTCAATACAGAATTTACTGAATGAGTTGAATATAATTATATTACGCAAGCCTCTGGCAAGCTTAATATTATTTTATTTAATGAGTTCATGAACTTACACGAATATAATATTCTATTTTATCACATACCCAAAATAAAGACTGTTTAAAGTGAAAAAGAATCATTCGCCATTGACTCGCTTATAGTGTCACGCTAACATTTAGCGCATCTTAACACTATAAATGAAAATGATGTCACATCAAAATATATGCACAGCCATGCAGTACCATTTTTACTGAGTCACAAAAGCGGCACGGGTATGTGATAAGCTGTGATAATGACTTGTTTATGACAACAGTTTAGAGCCAGGCCAGCATACTAATCCATACTGATGTGACCATTCTCTGCAAAATTTTATCATTTGATAACTTAATCTCACTGGTCAATAACCAAATTGCAAACGGGAAATTCAGCAGGGTAATAGTTCAATGAATAAAAAACATTTAAAATAAGGGTCAATGTTAAAAATGTAAAGCCACATGTAAAAATTACATGCTGTTTTCCTCATATTGATCCAAAACACTAGCAAGGATTTCCATCGGATTATTTCTCCTTTTTTATGAATATACAAAATTGTTTTAGAATGATATACAATCATTCAATAACCATAGTTAAGACATTGATTTGGCTCCAAGGTTATCTTTTTTTGGAGGCGTCTGTGGGGTGTGGTTAAGGTCGTTGACTTCAAACCACTTGCCTCTCACTGCTGTTGGAATCTCGTCCGGGACTTTAATCTTTTGAAAGATCTATCCAGGTGCCTGTTGGTGCCTGTACTAATGCACAGAGGGGCACCTGATGTCTTCCTTCACCAATAAAGCTGGATAGTTACCATGTGACCTTTACCTTTACCTTTGTGCCATCCCAACCAAAAATAAGATTCTTTTAAGATAACTGTGATGAAACTTCCTAGCAAACCTCTTGGTACAATGATATCAAAACACTTGATCAGCAGATTTATTGCCTTTCATGAAGTAATAATTAATATGTCTATGAATAAAGTGGTATCCTAAACTTTCAGTTTTTTCTGTATTTGAAACATATTAAACTAGTTTCTCTTTCTTATAGTTACAAATTCTTTTGACATGTAGTTCATTTTCAACATTCTATCACTTTCATGTCATATTTTGTATAGACTTTTTTTAAATTTTGAATTCTATGAATGTTTTTAATATTCTATTAACTTGGTATGCTGCAGACATCAGCTTAATGCTCGGTCACTATAGATTTGTTGTAATGATTCATTTTACATCAATAAAAGTGATCACAATTTACTTTTTGTTTCTTTCAGGAGTGTTTTAGATTTGTTCTCCCTGCCCTGCCTCATGCCATAAATCTTGTTAGGGGAGATAAGAAGCAGATTATTGAAACTCATCATGTTGTACAAGGAACAGTAAGTGTATTGGTTATCTCCCTTAGACCATGTTTGTTTATTGCAAGTTTCATCATATATTCGTTAGTCAGATATCAATCTTGCCAAATGAATAAATTTATTCAGCTAAAAGTTCCAAATGAAGAAAATATGACACTTTTTTCTGTAACTATTTAAGTGTATAATTCTATATTTCTGCTGCTAGCAGTTTCCAAATTTTTTGTTTCATTTGTTAAATAGATTAATTCAACAATGCCTTTATAAAAGAGCTGGTTATTTCCTTTTTAGCAAATGGCACATGCACAAAATCATTGCATAATGATTTAAACCCTACTTAAAATAGCAACATAATATTTTGTTGAGGAACATTTTATTCTGATTATGTGCACTTTTCATTGGTGTTAAGTAACAGAAAGATTCTATGTCACAATTTGTTCAAGGATTGACCATACGATTAATATGGAAACAAGATAATTTTACTGTAACAGTTTTTAAATTTGATTAAAATATTTCATTTGATTTAGCTTTCTACTAAGAAATTGTGAAACAAGCTGACTTATTTCTAGAGACTTGAACTGAAATTGGTATGAATACTATGATTTTATTTATATACCACAAAGTGCCCCTACTCCTGTTCACACATCTGTTTGATCCAGTGTTAGAATATTACGTCATCATGCACCTGCAAAATGCTCCTATTGGACTGGGTTTTTTTTAGGTGTGTTTCTTTAGTTTTTGATATATTCTAACAATTTCTTAGAATAAAAAAATATTTTATCTTTGAGTCAAGCAAAAAAACATTCTGATTGGGAACATTTTGCAAGTGCACGATGAGTAGTATCCTACCATTTTGATTGGACCATTTTAATTGGTTTAAGATGATTTCTTAATTGATTGGATAAGGTGGCTAAATTTGATTATTTATCCTTTGTGTACATTATCATACATGATTCTACATGGGGAGCTTGTTCAAAATGCATAGGAAACTATATTTCATAATTAACTAGTCAGAAGTTAAGAGGTTACAAACCATCATATAGATTGCCACAATACTTTTCTGAGTATAACCCAAAGTTATGAATGTAAGTGTTTAAAAAACACTATGCTTATCTTTCGGTAAAATACTTTTATTGCAGAAATTTATTGAAATCTATGAAATTCTTATTGAACATGTTTATTTGAATAAGAGATTATAGACTAACTATATTTTGAAAGCTGCATTCTCTATTACATACAGGTAAAGATAATTTAGTCCTTTCTTAAAAAGCTGCCAGTTTTTTAATGACATTATGTATTTATTCTGCGTTTACACGTTTACCTAGTGTATAATCTTTAAAACATGGGATATCTCCTCAGTGAGTACTCAGATGTTGTTTACTTTACATATCATGTATAGCAATTATCAATATTTTCAAATATTAGCATAATACATCATTAGAATGTAACTTGGGAACTTTGAACCTTCAATGTTGAAAGATGTTCAATTGAATTATCATTTTGAAATTGATGCATTGAACAAAAACTTTGAAATTGTGAAATTATGTTAGAGCTATAATTTTATTATCAACTATGAAGGACCGTGATCGCTCTAGAAAAACATTTACAATCAATCGTAATGAAAATGATGGCATGGTAATTTTCTGCTCCTACCATAAATTAGGGTAAAGTAAATTGGTTCATAAGACAAACATATTTAATGATGTGCCACATGTAAGACTCTGGACCTTAGGGTCAAGGTCGCAGCAGGGATTGAACTAAATGTATTTTAATTTACTAGTATGTTGTTCAGTGCAGTTTTGTTGCCCATACAATTTGCGTGTAAAAAATCAAGGTCACAGAAAGGGATTGAACTGAATGTTTTCTGGTATACTTTTGCAGTTAATTGCGTTTTTTTTCCAAAACCCTGACAAATTCATTTTATATTTTAACAGGCTTTGAAACAAAGTAGTCTTTTGTTTTCATACTGTTCTTAATTGTTGGAGAGTTAATGGTGATCTGTGATGCAAAAATTTAACCATTGGTTTGGGAAGTCATCTTGGAGATTATACTTTATGTTTATTTTTCAGTTTATTTCTAATTTTCTTAACATTACTTTTTATACAGCAACATATTCATTATGAAATTCATAATTCATCAAGGTTTAATGTTAATATGTTAACTTTTATTCTATAGATATTTATTAATTAACATAGATGATAATCTTATTAAATTATATGGAAACATAAAATAGTTTGTTTTAAATTGCAAAATGAATAGAATCATAGATCACACATATAGTTTCATGATAATTTTCTCATTTTGGAAAACATTTTATAAATGGAAAGTATAAAGATTTAAACTGAAATTGAATGAAAAAACATAATTAGACACTATTTAAGTCTTCACTGAAATTTTCAGGGTTCTGGTTTTTTTTTGGATAGAATTAGAAATTGATTTGTAAAAAACACCTGTGCTTTGGATGAAAACTGGCAAGTAATTGCCAATTATAGCTTTGAATGTATTAATAATATTTTAATGGACATTTCTGAAATGTCTTAATTAGTGAGAATATTCTTTATACATGAATAAACCTAATAAATAAGATGATAAACCAAAGGAAAAGTTATTCAGGTTGATAAAAAATACAGTTTACTTATTATAATCATAAATGGTTATGGATAATGTGGTCTTAAGAAAATAATTTTCCATTGTTGCTGAGTGCTTAGCAGCTAATTTTAGGTATGAATATCACAGATGAGATTGTATTTTGATGTAAGGCAATTGATAATTGAAAGCAGGCATTGACTTCTACCTTTATTGTGTCGCCTCTACGGAGTAGTGGCGACATATAGGGATCACTTCTCCGTCGTCTGTCTGTCCGTCTGTCTGTCTGTCTGTCCGCACTCACAGGAGAGTAATTATGTGGCTAGAGGGACAATAGGTAACTGTTCTTTCTCTTTGATGTCATTCATTCTGTAATGCTTTTATGTGGCTATTTTCTTTTGTGTGGCTAAAAAGAACAATAGAGAGAACAATAGAGTAGCCACATAATTACTGTCCTGTGAGAACGTCTGTCCGTCTGTCCGCACTCACAGGAGAGTAATTATGTGGCTAGAGGGACTATAGGTATCTGTTCTTTCTCTTTGATGTCATTCATTCCGTAATGCTTTTATGTGGCTATTTTCTTTTGTGTGGCTAAAAAGAACAATAGAGAGAACAATAGAGTAGCCACATAATTACTCTCCTGTTAGAACATCCGTCTGTCCATCCGTTGCCTTGTCCGGAGCATAACTTGAAAACCCTTGGAGATAATTTGTTTAAACTTCATACAGTGGTAGAGGGCATTGAGGGGGAGTGCAGTGTCAAAGAACCATAACTCTATTTTGCCCGGTTTTTGAATTATCTCCCCTGATAGAAAAATCTTGTCCGGGATATAACTCTAAAACTATAAGAGATATCAACATGAAACTTTGTAGGTGAATAGATCTCATTGGGTAGATGTGCGGTGCATAACAACAATAACTCTTTTTGTCCTAATTTTGGAGTTATTGCACTTGTTAATTTGAACACTTTGAACTTTGTCCGGCGCATAACTCTAAAACCATAAGAGATATCAAAATGAAACATTGTAGGTAGATAGATCTTATTGAGTAGAAGTGCAGTGCAAACGAGTCATAACTATCTTAAGCCTCATTTTTGAATTATCTCCCCTTATAGAAAAATCTTGTTTGGGACTTAACTCTAAAACTGTAAGTGATATCAACATGAAACTTTGTAGGTGAATAGATCTCAATGGGTAGATGTGCAGTGCATAAGAACAATAACTCTTTTTGTCCTAATTTTGGAGTTATTGCCCTTTGTTAATTTGAACACTTTGAATTTTGTCTGGAACATAACTCTAAAACCATAAGAGATATCAAAATGAAACATTGTAGGTAGATAGATCTCATTTAGTAGAAGTGCAGTGCAAAAGAACCATAACTCTGTTAAGCCTCATTTTTTAATTATTTCCCCTTTTAGAAAAATCTTGTCCAGGACATAGCTGTAAAACTATAAGAGATATCAACATGAAACTTTTTAGGTAGATATATCTCAATGGGTAGATGTGCGTGCACAAGAATCATAACTCTTTTTGTCCTAATCTAGAGTTATTGCCCTTTGTTGATATTTACTTTTTGAAGTTTTCCGGGATATAACTCAGAAAATATAAGAGATATCAACAAGAAACTTTGTAGGTTGATAGGTCACATTGATTAGAAGTGCAATGCAAAGAACAGTAACTCTTCCATTCCTAATTTAGTAATTATTGCACTTTGAACTTTTTCCACGGACATAACTCTGAAACTACAAGAGGTGTACTTTTCTGTGTCCAAAACCTATTCGGGGAGCATCACCCAGCTCAAACCGGGCTCTTGTTGTCAGAGTTATGGCCCTTTAAAAATATTTTTATTTTTAAAGTTTGTCCGGACTACTTCTCTTATACCACTAATGCAATTTCAATGAAACTTTACAGGATTAATCTGTAGCTCAAGTCCTTGCGCATATTGCACGGATTTCCGGTTGAATGATTTTTGGCCGAGTAATGGCCCTTTGATAAAAAGGTGTTTTTTTCTGTGTGTTGCCAGATACACAAAAGCTTGTCCAGACTACTCCTCATAAACTACTGGTGAAATTTTATCCAAACTTTACAGGAATGATCAGTACCAAGTCTAGTTGTGCGCTGTCCATCTGTCTGTCCGTCTGTCACAAAACTTGTCCCAACATGAAATTGGCCATCATGAGGCGACACATGTAATCACTGATTGTTCTTGTTTAATTTAAGAAGATTTTCTAAATGTTTCCTTATTGAGCATTTACAACAATTGAACTGCCCATCCGTCTGTCTGTACGAGGTTAACCTAAACTGACAAGTTATATCTTAAGTTCCACTTGAACCAATGGCTTCATAATTTAAACACTTACTAATTAATACAAAGTACATTATCTTGGCAAGTCAATCAAAACTGAAATTGTAGAAAAGGAAGAACTTAGTTTAATTTATGTCTTTTCTGCAAGCCTTAAGATAGTATTTGATATTAATCAAACTTAAAATTGTAGCAGAAAAAGAGAGATCCCTAAGGAGCAATAAAACAAAATGTTAAAAGTTTCAATGCAAAGCATAAGCCCTATGAAATACGAGACTCCTTAAATATTTAAAAGCATTGGTATTGTACACAGAAATGGTCGTATTCAGCATAAATGGCAATATCATTAGAACAAGAAATTACCAGGCATTAGGAAATGGATTAATTTAAATGACCTTTAAAACGTATGATTTATAGTCCCCAAGGTTATGCTATGTCTTAATAACTTTCACTTCTTAAGATGGTGGTTAAAAGTCAGATTCCCCAGTCTGTCCTGAGGGATACAGTGGCTATGTGCTTTAACTACATGCATATATACTATGAACGTTAGATTTCATCAGGATTAAGAATCCCTCATACAATTTATTTTATCTTAGTTTGCAGGCGACATTGGATAAAACCCATGTGACACATGCAAACCAAGATCAGGAGGCGCAGTAGTGCTGTCTGATCATGGTCTGCAATTTTTGGTTTTCATTCAGTACACATTTGTAATTTTTCCTAAACATGATGCATGGTTTTGTTAAGGTTGAAAGATAGACACGTCATTTTAAGATTTATTTTAAGCCTGATAATGGTTAATGAATTTGTGGGTTTCTTTTAATAAACTTTAATAGCTTTGTGCTTTTCGTCACTTTCTAACAATCTGCACATCAAAGTGTGCCTTAAAGTATTAACAAGTCCAAAAAATTATAAGGGCATATTATCAGTAACAATTTACTCATTTTCTTTAAATGTCACTTGTCACACTTTCAGATGGTAGTCATTTCAATAAATTGAAATGGCTGGATCGTCCAAAATATTATTTTATGTGATATTCAGCCACACTAACGTTCATAAGCTATCATTTTGTATCAAAATTACATTAAAGTATATATGTTCAAGTTGCCGTCTTAACACACTTGTTCAAGTTGTTTGTTTTACATTTGAAAAGAAATTCCAAAGCAATATCATTTGTTATAAAAAAACAAACTATTTAATCGTCTCTTAAGAGCTTATCTATATAGTGTTGGATTTGTTGAGGAATAGGTGTTCTTATTTACTCTGAACAGAAGAAACAGTGGAAAGGAAATGCACAATGATTTATTTCGAGAATTAACAATGTATAAACCTGCTCACTCAAATCGTCTAAAAAGTAAATATGTGTGAGTGGAAATAAAAGTTGATATTTATATAAAAGATGTAAAGTGTACCAATCAAGATAAATTCAGGATGAAGAAACTAAGGAACCCTTCAGATGATTATCAAAGACATTATTGAAAGTTGTGACAAATATTTAAGAAAAACCTTTATCTCTTGAATTACAACTCACAAGAGCCTAAGATTTTCACCATCTATTTCCAGAATGAAGCCTCTAACGAGCAGGAAAGTAGAAGAAAACATTTGAAAGTTGATCATGTAAATCCAGCCACAGTACAAACCATATCAAGTGAGTTATTGAAAAAACGGAAACGAGGTAGACCTGTCAGTCAACCAACAGAGGTTAACTTACCAAAAGGAGGGAAGCAAAGATGTATTGAAACAGAAAGAGGGAAGAAATTGATTGAAGTGTTGGATAGAAAGAAAGCTGTAACAGTTAATGTTTTGGATGAACAAAAACGCTTAAAAGTGTACACAGTTGTACCAGATCATGAATCTGAACAGGCCACAAGCCTTCTTGCTCAACACGTTTCTGAAATTGAGAAGAAAAAGGAGATGTCATTGTTTAACCCCAGAATTTGCAAGGCTGGAGCTAACGTTGAATACGGCAAGACAGACAGTGGGAGAAATATTACTAGTAAACACTGTAATAAGGAAATAATGAAAAATATTAAAAATGTTCCAGTTAATGCGACAACACAGCCTAAAGACAAGGATGCTGATAGTATATGCAAAGACAATACATTTGATGGTCATGAAAACAATACAAATAGGAGAAAAACTGTTAGAGGGAATCAATTTCATGAACTAATTACACATGGATATGACGCATCAATAAATACATATGAACATATTGACAGTCTAGAAAATGAGCTGGAAGAGATAAATGATTTTGATGAAAGAGAAGATAGTGATAATGATACTGAAAATCTTACTGAGATCAATAGTCCCATACAGACAAAAACTGTATTAGACGAAGCTATGAGAAGTGAATCAGGGGATTCAGAGGCTAATGATGAAATGGAGTCGTATGCCAAAATTTTATGTGAAATAAGAGAAGGAAAAAGACCTGTTCGCAAACATAAGGGACCTTTACGCTATAATGAAGATTATGTTGGAAAAGAAGGTGCAGATACTTTAATACTTAAGAAAAACTTTGTAAAGAATAAGAAAACATGTCAGTTAGAGAAAGAAAAAATTGGATCAACAAGTGAAGATTGTTACAACAAAGACAGTGATGAAGTAATGAGAGTTTCGTCCATTCCACCAAAGTATAGATATAAGGTAGTGACATCAAGTCTGCCTACAGTGATAAGTAAGACTGTCAGTGTGAATACAGATATTGAAAATGATCAGTTGATAAAAGCGAATCCTGTTATTAACAAAAAAGCAAAGATTCACGCAAGAGACGCTGAAGTCTGCTTTGCACAGGTAGGGAAAAGTGCAAAGATTTGGACACAGGAACATCCACAGATTAGAGGTATTTACTTAAACAAAGGTAAACGTGAGGTGAAGAGAAACATTGTCTCCCTCAAGCGTCTACCAACTGCTGTAGACAAGGGAAGTTACATGAGGAATGGGAGAATTAATGACAAAAACAGAATTGATGATGGCTTTGTTTTTACCAAGGAAGGGCAAAGACGGAGAGATTTGTTTGAAGAGGGAAAAATAAGGGACGAGTATGTAGTGAACTGGTATATGTGGTGTCCTGGCCATGGCAATTGTAAAAGGAAATGTGGTGGATTTGGAAAATGTGAAGAAGGTTTGTTTATTTTTCCTGTTTAGTTCCTTTTTATTTTGATAATCTGTCTAAAATTAGTTGAATTTTGATTTTTAAATTATTTATATTTAAGACAAAGTAGGTAGAACACTGCAACTCAGTAGCCTATCAGTCAGTTTAATTCAAAAATACCAAATTTATTTCCTCTTCAATTTTCCACAGGTTGCCCTGGTAATAGGCATAAACAGGATCGTCATAATTGTTCTCTAATGATTAATTGGAAGCTTTATTTGAGTGACCTTGAGAAATGGAGGATTCAAATCACCGGGTCTCATGTACCATTCGATACAGTTTGGAGACTACCGTATGGAGAGAAGGAAAGATTTGATGAAGATACTCGAGATTTGATTTTAGAATTTGCACAAAAGTCGACCAATGATGTTGAGATTAAAGAACTAATTGCACAGAAACAAAAATTTGCATCTCCAAGAGCTATCCCATCATGCAAGAGGATAAAGAGATTTAGGAAAAATAGGCTTTATAGAGAAATGGTTAAAATTCAGAATGTTAAAGACAATGAGTCCAATGATAAAAATGAATGTACAAAGAAAGGCGAAGTGAACAAAAATTCAATGTCTTTAGTGGTTGTTGAACCAATGAGTAATAACTCTGATACAGTGCCGTATTGTCAGGATGATCAGTTTAACAATTCTACGGATGATCAGATCAGTGTAGAAAGTGTACATGAAGGACAGTGGGAGGCTGAAACAGGAACAGTAATTAGTAAAGATAGCCAAGTCGTGTCTTATTATGATGGAACACAAATTTCCGGAAATATTTTTTCAGACTCAAACAGTGTAGGTCAAGTTGATCCAAGTTTGTTGCAGCAGGCTTTTGCCAACCATACTATTGTTCAGGCATTTAGATCACCAAAGGTAGATCAACAAGGAATACCTGTAGAAGTCATAAGTTCCGACACTTCTTCTCAGGTACATTATGTTGCTGTAAATGCTTCAAACAGTTTGCCAGAATGTGGATCAGACATGGAATTGATTGCAGGTCAGATTTCACAAGGGACACCTGTAGAATCAGTTCACTCACTTCCACAGGTTCAAGCAGTAATGAATGCTGTTATAGTAGGCGGCGATTCCAATATGCAGCAATGTTATGGTAGTATTGGAGATATAGCGTATATCGTATGCTCGCAAGATCCAGCTATGCAAGGACAATGAATAGCATGAGACTTTAACATAACCTTTCAAGGTTTTTGTATCTTCAAAATCAACGTACTAAAAGTGTGACTTATAAATACCATATTTTAATGACGTGCAAAAAGTAGTGAATGTATGTGTACATGTATGTATGTTTGTAACATAACCTTTCTAAAACCTTTTCAAGATGGATTTAGAAATTACTCAATAGAGTTATTTAACCATTATAACAAAAATGTGTCCGATTTAAAACTCAGATACAAATGCACTTAGACCTAAAGAGGAAGTCAAAGACCATACCATTGTCTGGTCTGTGACGGATTACATAAAAAATGATGACAAAAATGATGAATCATCGAGGGAAGGAATGCCAGTTTCTAACTGCCATAACTTATTGATGGATTTGTCTGGTTTCTAAGGTCAGCGTGATACTTCTAGGTCTTTTAAGTCATTAACAGTATCTATATTTCCCAGTTTTAGTCACATTATGTCAATTTATTCAATTGCAATTTTTCCCGATTGACCCTTATTATTTCGTAGGGGCATCCAGGTTAACGAACACAAATGTTGTTTCATATATGCACGGATTTATATTACAATATAAATCCGTGATACATGTAAACAATATCAGTCTTTTCAATATGTTAGCTGTGAATTAAAAAAGAAGTATTGAGTTTTGATTTGATAATGAAAAATGAAATGTATATACAGATGATGATTTCATTAACAGCTGGAAGTTTAATTGATTTAACATTGAGCAATGAAAAAGATTCGTCAGACATGAGCGTTTGCTGTAAAACTGTTGTACATGTACATAAATTAGAATGAAAAATATAACGAATTAAATTATTTATTAACACCTATTTTTCAAGGAGTGTAATTATTTTGCGATTTACACTCCAATTTTGGAGGATAATGAAATATAATAAAATAATAATGCACATTTTACAGTAGGATTTGATTTATATAATAAAGAGTGTGTATACCTGTATATTCTCTATATATTGTATGTACATGCCATAGGGATGAAAATCATTTGATCGAAACAAATTTTTTAAATGATAATAAAACTGAATAATATACATGCATGACTATTAAGTTATATTGAGAAATTGATATGTTGATTCTTATTGTTAATGCTATATGTGTAATTTATGACAGAACAACTTTTGTATTTTTGTATAAGATTTTATAATGTTGGCTTCTTATTTACGATTTGGATTAAACAAATCTGAAACCTTGAAATAATTTCTGTTATTTAGAAAGTTCAGTGTACAAAACTGTATGCGCATCTTTTAAGATTTGTCAGCCTGACTCGGCCTGACTCGAATTTGTTTAATTTAAGTATTTCAATACTGATTATTGACAGTTTCAAATTCAAAAGCAGACGATAGTGAATAGCCTCAACAGGAAACGAAAGTAATGGAACTTCAACATAAATGATACAGTTGTTCAAGGGAATCAAAATATCTTACAAGCACGATTTCCTGTGTCATTGATCTATCTTTTTAATGTATTATCGCCCAAAATTTTGAATTTCTAGGGGATTTCCGTGTTCGAGCAGATAATGCCGTTGATTTAAAAAACACTTGTCCCTCACTGTTGTTGGTTTCCCTCAAAGGATATAATTGTTTCATGTGAGGAACTTATCCAGCTTCTTCAGCTAGCTGACAGAACGTTGGTGGTTCTGAAATAATGCATGGAGGAGCACTTTAGGTCTTGTCCTCCATCTGTAAAACTGTAAAGTGGTCATACGACAATGACAGTGCCCATGTGACTTAAAACCCATCACAAATTGTGTATGACTAGTATACTTGGTGAACTGAAATCGGCTTGTCCAGCCGACCATTACAATTTTAATTTACCGGGCATAAGAAAAAGTATTGAAGGTAAAAAGAAACTTCATAGGTGTATAGAGAAGTGCATTGCACAGAATCACAACTCTCTTACATATTTTTAAAGCTATTGTGCTTTGTAATTTTTCATACTTGATACAGAGATGATCCAGAATTACCGGAAATTAAGCCATCAATGCAATCATATTTATTAAAAGTTCATAAAAGTTCGTACATGTCTGTGGAAAAGCTAAGTATTTGAAGTATCAACTTGAAACTTCATTGATGGAAAGTTTTCGTACCGGAATCACACTTCAATTTTGTCTTTAACACAACTTAAAAATATTGAATATTATATTGGAATTCAGTTTGAAACATCATAGGTGGATAGATCCAACTTGGGGGAAGTGCATTGCCAAAGTGCCAAATAATCAAAGCTCTGATGCATAATTTTGGAGTGATTGCTCTTCGTCATTTTTTCATATTTAATTTTTGTCCGATCATAACTTAAAATTAAAGATATAAACTTGAAACTTCATAGATGGATATATTTCATTTTGGAGAAGTTCAGTGCTCAAGATCTATAAACTACCGACTGCATTATATTGGAGTTACTGCTCTTTGTAATTGTATATACATATATTTTGTTCAGAACATAACTAAATCAGTAAATTAGACACCGGCCTGAAAATTCGCTCATGGATATTTTCCATTGTTTAGAAGTGCATTACATTGAATGGACCATAATTCTATTTTGCTTTTTCGAATTAATGTCCTTTGTAATTGTTCGTACTCAAGAAGTATAGTATATATGAACATGAAACTTTATAGATTGATAAATTGCATAGAGGTGAAGAACAATAAATTTCTTTTGCAAAAGTCTGCTTGATAATCTTTTATACTTCATTTTTGTGCAGAACATATTTTCAAGTCAGTAGGATTAATAAATATGAAACATCATAATACCCTACTAACAAAGTAGGGGCGGGGTTATCCTAGCCAAGACAGTCGCATGTCACGACCCTCTCGTTGCTTTGGCATAGGCTTCGGTGTTGGTTATCCTTTTTGCTAAGGGCCATTTTCTTGACCTGTTCATTAACAAAAAGGGCAGTCTATTCTGATACTGATTATCACTTTAAACTTGAAATACGTGTTCTTTATATAGGGGAGATAATTCTCCCATGTACACCTGTAGAATTATTCACTCTTTTCTACTTTGCTTTTATCATACTTTCCAGCATAAAGAAAAGTGGAGCGTGTTGTCCGCGGAAAGGTCTTTTTTATCCCCCGGCGAAAAAACGGCGGGGGATATAGAAATAGTCTCCGTCCCTCCTTCCGTCCGACATTTTTGTCCGGAGCATATCTCTAAAAGTATTTGAGTAATCAACTTAAAACTTCATAGGTGGATAGACCTCATTGAGGAGGAGTGCAGTGCACAAGAATGATAACTCTTCCCTATACAATTTTTGAGTTATTGCCCTTTGTTATTTTTCAAAATTGATTTTTGTCCAGAGCATAACTCCAAAAGCCTATGAGATATGAACATGAAACTTCATAGGTGCATAGATCTCACTCAGGAGGTGTGCACTGCACAAGAATGATAACTCTACCTTTCATAATTTTTGAGTTATTGCCCTTTGTTATTTTTCATACTTAATTTTTCACCTGAGTGGAGCATATCAACATGAAATGTCATAGGTGGATAGATCTTATTGAGGAGGAATGTTGTGCACAAGAATGATAACTCTTCCCTATACAATTTTGGAGTTATTGCCCTTTGTTCTTTTTCATGCTATTTTGTCCAGAGCTTATCTCAAAAAGTATTTGAGTTATCAACTTGAAACTTCATAGGTGGATGGATCTCATTGAGGAGGAGTGCAGTGCACAAGAATGATAACTCTACCCTGCATAATTTTTGAGTTATTGCCCTTTGTTATTTTTCAAAATTAATTTTTGTCCAGAGCATAACTCAAAAAGCCTTTGAGATATCAAAATGAAACTTCATAGGTGCATAGATCTCACTCAAGAGGTGTGCAGTGCACAAGAATGATAACTCTACCTTTCATAATTTTAGAGTTATTGCCCTTTGTTATTTTTCATACCTAATTTTTCACCCGAGTGGAGCATAACTCAAAAGTGTTTGAGATGTCAACATGAAATGTCATAGGTGGATAGATTTTATTGAGGAGGAATGCTGTGCACAAGAATGATAACTCTTCCCTGTACAATTTTTGAGTTATTGCCCTTTGTTCTTTTTCATACTATTTTGTCCGGAGCTTATCTCAAAAAGTATTTGAGGTATCAACTTGAAACTTCATAGGTAGATGGATCTCATTGAGGAAGAGTGCAGTGCACAAGAATGATAACTCTACCCTGCATAATTTTTGAGTTATTGCCCTTTGTTATTTTTCAAAATTAATTTTTGTCCAGAGCATAACTCAAAAGGCCTTTGAGATATCATTATGAAACTTCATAGGTGCATAGATCTAACTCAGGAGGTGTGCAGTGCACAAGAATGATAACTCTACCTTTTATAATTTTTGAGTTATTGCCCTTTGTTATTTTTCATACTTAATTTTTCAATTCAATTTTTTTCTCAAAAAGTATTTGAGGTATCAACTTGAAACTTCATAGGTGGATAGATTTTACTGAGGAGGGATGCAGCACACAAGAATGATAATCTACCCTGCATTATTTTTCAGTTATTGCCCTTTGTTATTTTCAGCCATCAGTATTCACATAGGTTTCAAATCTGTAATCACTATAGCCATCAGTTTTCATTACCAAAAGACCTCTTAAAATGGAATTATTCTGCTGTACTACATATACATTCTTCCAATGAGCAAACACATTCGGCGGGGGATGGCCATGTTGACATGGCTCTTGTTTAAATTTAGAATGCTCTTCTCGGTATTAAAAAAACACAAAAAACAATAGACTTGCAGCATGTCCGATAGTATAAAATATGCTATGAAATCAAACATCTTTTTTAGCAAAAAGTTTTATGTGAACTTTGTAACATGCTTATTTGAATTCCGATTATTTGGTAGAGATAAGTCCGTCGGGATTGTCATGGTTTGTGATTGATATGTATCAAGTTCTAGTAAAGTGACAACATACATTTCTTTATCATGCTTTGCTAAATTCCAATTGTGAATCTGTCGTTCTTGGAGATAAACATTAATTTTTCAACTTTAAATAGTTCAAAAAATTCGCCCTAAATTAATACTGTCACGTTGTGTACGCACATATGCTGGCAGTCCGGCAAATTTCAAAAACATTGTTTAAATATACGAAATCGACTGTTACCAATATCGGTTAAAAGGTAAGTTATTCTTACAATAATTTTATGTATGTTTTTTACGTTACCTTGGAAACTTATTATTCGACTTGAATTGATCTCGACTGAATGAAAAATAAGTACGCTAAAATTTCATTTACGTCAGCAGTGCTCCTATATCTAAGTATTAGATATTTTAAAGGGACTCCACTGAGGTTTTTTGACATGATGGGACTGAAAATATTTTTCCAGATAAATGTACCATTTGATGTAGGTTTAGAACACTAATTCATGTGCAAAATTTCAGATCATTTCCGCACTTCGTTTTTCCAGAATAAGTATTAAAATTGTAAAAAAATGACCCAAAATCAAAAGCGTTTAAACGCTTTTCACTCAAATCGGGCTTAGAAAAGCATAAAAATACTACTTTCGATTTATTTCAAAGTATATTTCTAAACTATCTTTGCATATATTTCTGTTTAAAGTGCCCCAGCTCATTTATTTAAGAAATTCAAATGTTATGTTTTTAGGCTTTTAAACCTCAGTGGGGGTCCCTTTAAGGAAAAAAATAATGTAACTAAGAACGGACAACATGAAAGAGACATTAATAAATAAATAGTTTATAACAAGCGATCGAGTTTCTTTACACGTATTTCATCAAAGTATATTTGGTCATTTCATTGCCTAGAAAAGTGCATCCACGCCGTAAACAGCTGATAACTGATGGATTTATAAAACACATTTTATAAGAGGCCTTAAATAGATCTCATGGCAAGCATGGAATATCTTTCAGTCATTAAAACACGTCATAACATATTTTATCAACCATTTGCGACTGTGTGAATTTTAATACTGTCTCTGGGGTTACATCTGGTAGAAGACGATTATGAATTTTCATGTCGAAGACAAGGATTGCTTTCCTTATATGGCTTGGTGCATGACAAGAATATGCATCCTTGTAATTAATTGATGGAATCTGTTTTTGTTATGTAAAAGCTTTATTGAAGCTGTTTTTTTAAAAGTTAAAATTGTTGTCACTTGATGAAGTGTTGTGAATTCTGACTTTTTTACGAAGCAGATTAGGGGCTATCGTTTGTTTTCTTTTTGTAATCAGTCGAGGTCAATTCAATTCAAAGGTAATGAGAAAG